GTCGCGCGCATGCTGCATCCCGCAGTTTTCATTAATCTGTTTTGCATTTCTTTCTCGATCGTGGTTAACAAAAATATTCCCCAGGATATTGTTTAAAAAAAAGTGCTAAAAATATACCCAAGTATATTTCTCATGCAAGTCGAGGCAGCAGCAGACTTAACAGTTGACATACATTGAGAAAAACGTGTTTTGTCACATCGCGTACGTGTGCACTGTGGCAGCGTGAATGTGTGTACGTGTGAATGTATCCACTTCCTCGAGAGACTCACGCGCGCGCACAGGTGTATAGAGCCAAGCGACTAATTAACAATCGCTTGTGGCTGGCGTATACATACACAACTACAACGACGAGTCTGTACTCGTGCTTGTGGTGGTGTATACAGCCGCTTGTATGAGTGTTTGTACGTGTGAGTTTGTGCGTGTGCCCGAAAGAAACAAGGGCTGGGGCTTTTATAGCGCATGTATACGCGGGAGAAGGCAAGAGTCACGACCGTGACCTCGTCTCCGAGCGCGCGCACACCTCTTCGGGTCTATCATGTCGAGTGAGGATTTAGGGTTCCGTCGCGGTTTCATTTCAGTTTTTTTGTCTTTCTTGCCTTTTTTTTAGCTTTTTTTTTTGGCTTACATCATGATGTAGCTCGCCTTGTTTTATAAAAAATTAAGTCTATTTATTTTTTTCCAAGAACAATGGCTCGCAGCTACATGCCTGAAATACATGCGCGGACGATTCATCAAAATTACTATTATATCGTTACGTTCGGCTTACAACAATGTCAATGTCAACGTGGCAATAAATACATGCAGAGATCATTATTAGGTAATCGGCGCCTTTTTCCATTGTGAAAAATCTTTCTTCCGTTCGGAGTTGTATAAAGAATCGTCAAACTTTTACCACCTTCATTTCTTTGCAATGTGGTTTCCTTTCGTCGGTGCACACACACACACACACACACTCATGAATTTTGATCGAGGGAATTCCTTCCTCGCGCGTGCCGGTAAGCTCTCAACGCCGAAAAGCTTCTCGTCGACGTGTTTTAGTTGCATTATGTACAATACAGTGGTAATGAATAAGCCAAGTGTGTATATTATGTTTACTGTGGCTGCAAGGCTGACAGCATAAAAGCTCGCTACTATAAATCTGACGGGCTTGATCATTTTTCATTATTAAGGTAACTGCCGCGGCTCTCTGCGTAATTTTCAAAATTGCAAAAGCGATTTCGCGGTATGTTTATTTAACTTTGAAGTCGAAAATGTTGCAGTTTTCTGAATAAGCGAAATTTCACAACTACGAATATATATCTAGCAAAGCCCCCGCATTAGCATTTTTAAAATAATGTCAATATCGACGTTGTGCAGCGGCGTACGTACATGTTTGCGTAACTCCGTGTTAAATTTTACTCGATTCTACGTCGATTCGTTCGGCGAAGAACGCGACTACCTGCCTGTGTTTATCTATATATTCAAAGTGCATATATGCGCGCGTGCAGTACATATTTTACATATACACACACGAAAGCTGTTGTATCAATGTAAACATCGTAATAACAACAACAACACCAAGAACGGAACGGCTACAGCAAAAGGCAGACAAGCAGGCAGCGGCGATGCAAGCAAACGTGTCAATTATTAATTTTCGGTGGCATGCATGTCCATCAAAAACATGTGACCCGACGCCGCCACTGCCGCTGCCGAAGCACAGTGGCGAGTTGCTGTTGCACATGCATCTCTCTCACCTATGTGCGGCCCGCGTGCACGACGACGACTCACGCCCACGTATACACCCACCTAGGCACACGCACGTATATATATACAAATACATATTATGCACGAGTACACGATGTACTTCATTATTGTTTGGACAAATTTACCTTCGAATATATGCGCGCGCGCGCGCGAGAGAGTACGTATTGAGCAATGAAAATATATAATGCATCGGGTCACGAAGTATGCATACACACACACACACAATGTGTCATGGCAATTGTTGAAGTTACGTATATATATTATATACTTGGACGTTGCTGCAGGAAAAGCAGCCGCAGCATCTCTGCTCGAAACCTAATGCTTTGAGGCTATAGAGGCTGTGGCCTACACGACCGCGTGCACATCGCACACACATGTTCCTTGCGAGGTCAAGTTCGCGGATTAGGTTGTAGAGTTGCATCGTAGTACGTAGAGCGCGGGATACACGCACAACTTGGCGCGCGCACGAAAGAACGAGAAAGAGATGGAGATACAGGGAAATATATGGCGCGAGATTATCGGCGTTAAAAGTTTTAGTTATGTACGTACGCTTTCGAGCTATCTATGTAGGCAATTCGAGTAACATAAGCTATAGATTGGAAATGTGTTCGTGTTTAGATGTGACGCTCTAGACATCCCCTGAAATTGGCGGATCACCCGTATAGTTGCACGTACGCGGCAACTATACATCAACGCGCGAGCAGCGCTGCAAATACGCAACGTCGATGTAAAATTGATAAACAGCCGTATAGCGAGTATTAAACCAAGTTTTAGCAACTCCGCCACAGTTGTAATACGTGCCGTATATATATATATAGGTGCATATCGATGGAACACGGGTATAAGTCGCATGCGCGTTCGCCTCGCGAAGCATAAGCCTGATTCACAGTTGCTGCGCTGTTGTTATGTTTGGGATTAGAGAGAAAGGGAGAGAGAGAGAGAGAGAGACGGACAAGCTTTGGAATTATAATTTTTTAGTATCGATTTTGAGCTAAAAATAAAACACGTCCGCGTGATCGATTCTATTCTGAAATCAAATTGCGATACAAGTTTTATGGGCCGATCAAAATCGATCAATTAATCATTTGACGAATATCTTGGCGTTGCTAATAAAAATTCGATTTTTTTTTCCGAGCTCCACAACTGCGTGGCGTGGCAAACGTGTTTGTTCGGAGCTGTATAATATTCTGATGAATTGTGTGTAACTCGCTATTTATCAACTGTATATACGGTATATACGTTTTCGCGTCTTAACCGCAAGACCATGATGCACAACGTAGTGGAGGAAGGCGCAGGCACACTCGCAGCAGCACTGCATACGCGAGCTGCAAACGATAGCTCAGTGAAATACAACCCGGGCTATTAAATAAACCCTTTATATGCCGTGGCAGTATTTTTCTCTCGCCCTATAGCCTGCAGTATTTCGATACCACTACGTAGCTCGTAAAATAGCAGCGTATAAGCGAGCTCTGGTATAGCTAGGATCGTTTCTTTATCCTCGCGAGTGCGATTTTCGAACGATTGAGATGAGAAAAAAGCTGCTGCGTGCGTGTAAGCACGAATGATTGTTCTTTAACGATCAACTGCGCTTCTATATAATGTTTGTTTAATCAATTACGAGCGCCCTTAACTTATGCGCATACATTTGTTGAGGCAGACACACGTATACACACGATACAAGGTTGTGTGTGCTGCGAGCAAGTTTCGTGATATAGACGCTAGACACGCGATCTGTCACATTTGCACCTTTAGGGTCTCGATGGACAGAGAAAAAGAGAGAAAGACAGGAGGAGACGCAGAGTACACGTTGACATGTATCCTTCTCCTATCATACCCAAGAGCCTTTCTATTTTCATACCACAATGCCGATGATTTTCTTTAATTTCAAACTCATTCGTTGTCAACTTGTGTACGCGTGCGGCTTTATATTATACATTGTATCTTCGCACATCGTGCAGCGACGGCGAAAAATTTGCAGCCGCGCGACAGCTTTTCAATAAAGTTGTCACCTTATCGCTGTCGCATGCAGCTTCCCACGCGGCCAAATACGTATACGTTTTCTCTCGAAAGAAAAAAGTTCTTTATCTCGAATTTCGTGGTAATGCAATAAAAAAACGTATTAACGGCAATGTTTTGACACAATTTCTATCGCAAGATGGCATAGACGTTTCAGAATCTAATGTCAAATAACAAAAAAAAGTACATTAACCACATTTAATAAATATGCCTTCAACGATATTACAGCTGCGTTTCCTAGTAGAAATTCTCAACATTAATACTGACTTTAAATTGCCGTACCATTATTTAGATTGTTTTGGGCGAGTTTTTTTACAAACACGTTAAAAAATTAATCAGTTTAAAGGTATTAATCACATTAAGTGGTAAAAAAAATTACAATTTAATTATTTTTAATAAATATAATTATACCAGTTTTCGGCCTAATTAAATGTGATGATACCACTTTGAGCTTCCACGACTAGATGGATCCGCTAACACAAAGTTAAAATAATAGTATAACTTAAAGCGTGGTTTTGAACATTTTAATGGGCTTTGATTTCTTAGTTATAGCTTTAGACATAAATTGTTTCAAGATTCAAGTTGCAACAATGACATTTTTTCTCGATGTATATAGTGCGGTGGAAGATAAATTGAGTTTGTTATACCTCTCTCCGCGCGCAAAAGGTACAAGATAAAAACACGACGTTATTAAGAGTAGCTGAAAAAGTGGGCCGATGTCTTGTTTCTGATTAAAGTCAAATAGATCCTTTACCGACGGAGAGAAAAAGTAGAAGGAAAAAAACGGATTGGATGGAAATTTCCTTGTTTGTTACCCGTTTTTTTTGCCGTAATACTTGACCGAAACATTAGGTACATTAAATTGCGATCCACGAGAGCTGATATTCACCAAGAAACCAACGAAAAAAAATCCCAAGCCTTTAAAATTACAGTCAAAAGCTCGAATTACTTCGCACATAAAAAGTCCTCCCGGATCGTGACGATAAATTAACGATCTTCACTGGATAAATTCAAAAGCACCGGGGCTCGTAAACGCGAAATATATTCACTGCGTCGAAGAGCCTGTCTTATGACTCGTAATTAGGTATTTTCGACCAATGTGCCAATGGAAAAGTTTTAATTATGTGTATGTTCCTGCGCGCGTATTTACAGATGCGCTGCTTATTGCCTGTCATCATTACTCGACAATAATTTAACCGAATAATTAATGAATTTACGATCCATTGATTTTCTGTTCGCAGGTTTTATTGGGACTTGTGTATGCTTCTTCTGCTGGTGGCCAACCTTATTATTCTACCGGTCGCTATTAGTTTTTTCAATGACGATTTAAGCACACGGTGGATAGCCTTCAACTGCCTTTCCGATACGATATTCCTTATAGATCTTGTTGTCAACTTTAGAACCGGTAAGTACGAAATATAGCTATATACTCGGTATAGCCTATATTATACTTTAAGACATTATGCAACGTGCTCTGCGGTGCATTTATTATAGCAGACTCTCCTCAAGACTTGCCTCGATTTTATCCTTTTCCACCCCTCTCGAGTCTCTTGCGCAGCGTCGCAGTTGCAGCTGACACGCTTGAAGTCTCAATGTGGCAGTTTTAGAGCGACGTCGCGCGAAATGATCTTCCCGTTTAAAAGGATATGATGTCTACCTTCTCCCTCCCTTTCATAAAGAAGTTTAATTAGACTTTGCAACTAACGAGCCGAGATAGCTGATTTCAAATTTTTTTACTCTTCTTTTTTACCTTATTTAAAATCTAACGTCAAAATCAAATTTTGTAGTTTAATACGCGTAAAGCTCCTTTTCTAAAATGTCAAAATTGGAGAAGTCACTGAAATAATTGATTTCTAATTCTTCTTAAAAACTGCCGAGTGAAAAAGTGTACGCTTACACGCTTCTCCGCAAATCTTGTATATACTTCCGAGAATTGGGTCGTACAAAGTATATAACGCTACATTGTCGCCTCGGCAGATATGTACATATATATATATATATATATATACGGCAGCGCGCCACATACCCGTCCGCACAATCGTCGCAAATTGCCGATCCAGATATCGTACACAAGTGTTGAAGACGTCTATACTTTTAGCGACGATTACCCCGTCCACTGTACGTACTTGCGGGATATCTTCTTTCTTCGCGCTTTTGACGCGGCGGTGGCATCGCGGCTTGCAGTGAATTGCGCTACATTGTATTTGCGCGCTAGAGAGAATATTATACTCTTGTAAAGAGCCTCGCCCGGCCTCCCCCGCCACGCGGTCAATGCATAGCTGATTATAAAGCTCGAGGATCTTCGCGATACAAAGGACGCGCGAGCAAGCGCCAAGAAAATGCCGTGACGTTAAGAATGCGCTCGTGCCTTCTTCTACCCTCGCACGCGGCCTCTATCCGTTCATTCGAATCTGTAGCAGCAGCGGCAGTATAGATTATTATAACGATTTAAAATTGATCTCGTATGTAATGCGCGAGTGGCCAGATGTTCTAAAAATAATCCCTTGCAACTGCGGTTCGGGTCGAAATTTACGATCGACGCGCATAGCAAATATAACAACGCCCTGGGGAGCTCCTTACATAGCCACGCGCGCGCGTGGTGCAGGCTGGAATTTTGCAGGCCGCAAAGAAGAAAACGTCGGCGGCCCTCCCACGGGAGGACGAGTCCGTTCTTCTCTCCCTTTATCGCGCGCCACGCCGGAGAGAGCGGCTTTTTTAATTTTCCAGATGTTATCGTATAACTGTCATATTTTTGCGGGCGAAACTTTTGTCTTAATTGGTTTCAATTTCATTTGAACGTCACTGCACCACCGCCACTACCACCACCAGCCGCGTGCGTTCATTTAAGAAATGAGCTTCTGACGTAATGGAAATGGCAGTGTGTACCGATTCATTTAGCCCTCCTTACCCCGCCTCCTCCTTCGCTCTGTTTCGTCAATATTTACACGATATCAAAGTTACATTTTTTTGCTTCATTTTGCAGGTATAATGCAGCAGGACAACGCGGAACAAGTGATACTGGATCCTAAGTTAATCGCGAAACACTACCTCAGGACGTGGTTCTTTCTTGACCTCATCTCCTCCATACCACTAGACTATATATTCCTCATATTTAATCAAGTAAGTGCAGCAGCAGCAGCAGCCTTTCTTACTTTTCTTCTTCATCTTTTTTTTCTTTTACCCTCTTCTCGTTCAAAGAATATGTCTGCTCTTTCGATTGAGAGGGGAGAGCCTTTGTTATTTGGTATAATTAGTTTGTATTTCGCGATGTTCTATCAAGCTCGAGAAAATCTTCTGAGATTTCAACCGAGGCGTCGGTGTGGGCGAAGTCACACGATAAAAAGAGGTTTTCGGAAGAGCGAAAGACCTTGACATCGACGAAATTACTTTCACCATCGTATACAAGTATACAGACACGTTTTCCAGGGATCACTTGGCGCGAAATTTCCCACGCGAATAAGCTTGATTTTCGAAAATAAAATAAAATAAAATAAAACAACACCTGTCTCGCGACTATAGTATCAATCGTTGCATCGAAAAAATAATATTGCAATACTGATGCTAATGACGCAAAAATCTAGTTCCAGGATTTCAGCGAGTCTTTCCAGATTCTGCATGCTGGTCGTGCCCTGAGAATTCTTAGGCTAGCGAAACTCCTGTCACTCGTTAGGTTACTTCGATTATCGAGACTGGTGCGATACGTATCGCAATGGGAAGAGGTCTATGTAAGTATCAGTTCATACTCTTTTTTATTCAACTTGATTATTTATAAATACTACATATAATACGATATGAGATAATGATACAATTTTTTTATTACTTTCTTTCGTTTCGACACTACTTTTTTTAATAATATGCGAATATATTTTTATTGCAAATTATGGTTTTTACTTTGAGTTTTGTGTATACTTATACCCTTGAGATAAAAAATACACACAAAACTATGCACAAATGTTAAATAAATTGCGAGAATGTTCATAAGGACATGAGAAGAGGTTAAGATGATCTTGATAACGTATGACTTTCAATGGCATTGACCTTTTTACATGATCAAATTGAAAATTTAATAGAAAAAAAAAAGAAAATTCGAAAGGTACTCAATGTCGTTGAAAGTCTAAAATTATTATTTCATAAGAACGATAATGACATTGAAATTTTATTACCAATTTGGCAGCAAAGTTTAAGCATGAAAAATTATTATTACAAATCAAAATCAAAATAAAACTCATCAATAAAACCTAATAAACTTGAAAAATATAATGCGCCAGGATTAAACCATTTAAAAACCTACTTAATACTTATACTATTCGCAAACGTGAATATACGTGCAAATTCTTCAAACGACTTGTCTCTCGTGAGGAAGTCGCACGTTAATAAAGCTTACTTTTAGCATAACATGTTTCATGCGCAGCGCGGCACACTGTGTTCGCGATTTCGTCGCAATTTTCATTCGTTTTATATTATTTGAGCCCATGATATTCAGCGTAGCTTCTTTATAAGACGGACGTAATCCTTAAAACGACGGGTTATAAAATTAAAAATTACTACCTAATAATTAAAACGAGCTCGCTCGCTCGCTCGCGGTTGACAATTCAGTTGGAAAAGATTAATTAGATTAATTCTCCACTTGTTTCTTCGAAGCTCGTCATCTTAAAATTATACTAACTAGCAACATTTTACATCGCGCGCGCGAGGGGGTTACGTACGCTCTTTGCCATTGCGCTGCACACTTTCTTTTTTCGTCGATTTTTCTGGCACGTGGCCATCTCGTTTTCTTCGCTTCGTCCGACTCGGGTACAGTTGCGGTTATTGGGCTACTATAAGACGAAGAACCGCTGCTTGCCGCCTTTTTTACGAGCATTTTTATGAGCTTCGAGCATTACGGGTCTCTATATTTTCTGATTAATTTTCATCGTTAAAGCACGCACGTTTGTAAATTTTAAATGCAATAAAATTAAAGAAAAAATTTTCCCGCCAGTCGTACAATAAAAAAGAAACGTGAGCAAGAAAAGAAAAATATTTCGCGCTATTTAACGTCCTCACGCACACAAATCATTGCGAACATATCGGATTACATATCTTTATTTCTTCAGGCCATTGTCAATGCAATTGAGCTGCTTTTGCATGACGCAATTAAAAAAGAAAAAAAACCGAATCGCCGTTTTCTCGGTCAGATGCACGCGCGCGCCTCGTTGCACCAGTTTAGGCAATTCGCGCGCTAAATCGCCTTCACATCGGTACTAAAAACAAAATCTAAATCCATAAATGTTATAAAACTAAACTATATTGCTGCCTATTTATAATACGTATAGCTTATAAGTAAAACAACAACAAAAAAAAGATGTACATGTTCATTACATGGGTCTTGTTTTGCGAACACGTATTCCGACTGGCTTTGCAGATTCCCCTTTATCAGCAGCCGGAGAGGCACTACGAGCGTCGGGCTACACCGCCTGAACCAGACCGAACCAGCAAGGTGTGCCTGCCTGACTATACACACACTCAATAGAAACACATTGAACTTAATTAGAACCAGTAAAAAAAAATTGCTACGGGAGAGAGGCCAGAATTCGAATTTACCGAAAATTTACTTGAAAAAAAAAAATTAACGGCCCTCGACTCCAACGACTTACTCGATTATTGCTCATTGATGATGATGTTTGCGGATTTAAGCGTTCGTTATTTCAAAGCAAAGACAAAATCAATGTTTTCTATTACTATTTATTATTAATATACGTATCATAGATGAGCATTTGAAACAGAATTTTTTTTAATGATTGAATTAATTGTGGTTTTTTGACACACTAGACAGAGTTGCATATATTAATAGTTTGTCGTTTCAGTCTCAAGTAACCTCACAGAGTTCTCTAATAATAACTGATCCTACATTACTAAAAACCTACTCTACTGTTAGTTCAATGTTTACTTGGGTATACAGCAGAACTGATCATAGACCTTTACCTCATGCTCGAACTATTTTCATTTCCTATTTTACCAACGTGTTGTCGAAGCTTCAGCTTTTGTGGATTTTATTTATAAAACTTTTATTATTGTATCGCCAACGCTTTACGAGAAATATGATTTTTTCCATTTATTATATTCAGTATACTCAATTCGGTTTCATATGCATAACTTATCCAATGTTTTTGGTAAACACAAATACAGATTTTATTCAGACATGATGATACATATAGAAATATATATACTACACGAGAAAAAATCAATAATACCCCAGAATATCTTGTGCATATATGAACATACATGTATTCATAAAAAAATATATATAAAAAGTGTCTGCTTTGATCAGATCTGCTGGCTTGCCCAAGTTAACAAACCAGCGTGTTACAACATGGATACCAATCGAATTGTTAATGCTTTTAATGTTCACCGTCATCTGAGATGTTTCGATCTCATAGCCATTTACATATAACATTTCATCGCTTGTATTCAAACGATAATTGATGTCAAATTAAACGATGCTTCGTCGCAACTGTTGAATTAAAGAAATGAATTTATTTTCAACTTGACGATAAATTCCGAGTTAATTTGACATACAAATTTAAGTGTTTAGAGGATATGTTCGTTGTTTAGTTTGCAACATGATGTCAGTATCTATAAATCATTCGTTAATGGTTACAATTATTTTTTGAGTTGCTCGTTTGAAATTCTGAATGCAGGTAAGGAATGAGCCGATGGCAACAAGTAGAAAAATTATTAACAAAAATTCAAGCTCAAGTTTATCTTGTAGCCAAAAGCTTTGTCGATAAGAGATCCATGTTGACACGCAGTATAGATGCAAATTCCTTAAATGTCAGTTCTGGAAACGATAACTGTTATACTTTCCCGTGCCTTGAAGTGTATGAAAATTTACCAAAGTTTTATTGAGTTGATGGTTTGTTTGTTATTAAAAAAAATTTAACCTAAACAGCAACAATATAGCAATAGTAATGAATGAAAATATTCATTACCTAACAAGACTTTCTAATACTGTTTAGATTAGGTCAACGTGTTCGATTATCCATGTGTTGAACGAAACCCACTCTAAGATTCACGTCGATTATCAATTTGCACAAAATTTCAAGGCTATTAATCAATGTGAGCAAACGCGACATGCTGCCACGGCGATTGTTGCCTTTAACTTTGACACTTGACGTGAATCCCCATGATTTGCTGATGATGCAATTTTTCGCAAGAAAAAAGTTGTTTGATCCGTGATTTGATTAATCTGTAGGTCTGCTTGTGAGTGTTAGGTGTTCCAGAATTAATATTCATTTGATCGTCGACACGTATCTGTGGAAAAAATTACTTTTAATTTTCAGTTGCATATTTATGATAAATCATACAAATTTTACTTTAATCCATTCAAAAATCCTGATTCCAATTTTATTTGTTTAATTCTGCTTTTTAATCGCGTAACACAAAAGTCGTCATTACTAAACTTTCACGAACTTCGCGGGGGTGAATACAGTCAAATTTTTTCTGCGTGAATTTTGTCAACTATGCTTTCAATATATTAATTGTCGTGCGGCCAACGAAAAAAAAACGAAAGGAAATTATTGAAACGAACTAGAAAACAAGAAGAACATCAATGTCATTTTCATGTAACCTTACTCATTCATTCCTCGTCCTTAATTTTATAAAACTAAATCTTTTTTTCTTTCTATCTTATTACCTATAATTATTTTTAATTTTCTATTATATTGATTTTCATATCTAAATTTAACCCTTCAGAATATTTGATTTTTCGCTCGGCTCTTTTAAATATTTTTAGTAAAGATAAAATTGATATAATTAATATAAAATTATTATTATCATTAAAATGAACGTTGATAACTGTAGTCTCAATAAAATAAGTGTATAGTATTTTATCGATGGGAGCTTCGTTTTATTTTAAAATTTGTAGATTTCTCTTAAACTATATGTGAAATCTTGATTATTTTATCTGTGTGCACTATCATTTTTGGCACTTTTTCTTACTCACTTTCTAATATATCAAAAAATAACACAAAATACAATGAATGAGAAATAGTAGTTATATTTAATTGCATACAGCACCAGCATATTACATAATTTTTTCGTATTCAATATAAATATTTATCAGGTTAACATTAGTATTTTAATCAATTTATGAGAAAAGCGTAATCTTACGCATTTTAAAATTCAAACTTTTAAATTAGTTGCTTTGCACTTTTCATTATGATACGTAGTAACGAATTCCTAAATTTAATTCTCTCGAAACGGTTATTTTGTTCTTATATGGTTCGGCGACAAATTTTAATGACTCAACGCGATTATAAGAGTTTATATTCGCATAGAATTTTCGATTTAATTCTAGTTGATAATGGTACCTCGGGCACCTACAATTCTGACGGCATTAAACCCACTTTGTTCTTATATGAGTTCGATAAAACTATCCAATACTCGTCGTTTCGCTCAATTAAATAATATTTATTATGTATTCAGGTATTACAATTTAGATTGTGTGTTCCAGAAAGTTTGAAGGTTCATTGCGATTCGGCAACGAATGAATGTGCTTAGACTCCTCATTTTTTCACAATAATTAAACAAATGATATTAAACTTTCTCAAACTAAAACTAAATATAAAATGAAAATAATAAAAACGCATTTTCACTAAAACTTTTTATATGTATGATAATATTAATTGTGTGAGTCGCAAGTTGACCGAAAATACTTGCCAACCTGGATTACCCAACCTACTTTTCATTATTTTTAAAACTTGACAAGTGAGAGGATGTTAGCTTGAACTAAAACAGATTGCTTATGCTGCCTGAGAACATAATGCTTATTTATAAGACTCATGAGCAATGTGCTCTTGATAAAATTTGATTTATTATACAATTTTTCATGTAATAACAACTATTTGTAGTGCTGCTGGTCAACTTGTATACTCTTTACTTTTAATGCATCGGAAACGAACAGATTTAATATCAGATTTTGGAGATTTACATAACCGATGATAGTTGCACGAAAGAACTGTTCATAAGAAAGCTTCACAAGTACGTCGAGTATACTAGAAATACTGTGCTATGAGCTTAAAATTTAATAATAAAAGCAATTAATCTAAAATAATAACTAAAAACTTTTTAATACCATAAATTTGCCAAGGGCCTGGCTTATATTTTATTTACACTTATTGCATCTTGTTACGTTTAATACTTTAATTATACTCTGCAGACATGTTCTATATCAATGGCGTATCGACTAACAAACTTACTTAAAGAAATTTCCTTCTTCATTTTCTATTGACTTTCAATACTTTACTAAACAATTTATTTACAAAATGATTTTTGACGAAGTAAAACAACCAACTACTTTACTGTCTTCACCCGACATTTATTTATTTTATCAACACTGTCTCACTAATATACAATTGAAAATAACAAAAGGAGAATCTCATTTTTTGCGAAAAAAATGTCTATAATCTTTTTTTCACTTCTTTACTATGTCTTGCTATGTCCCGGCTTTCTTTTGTTTCTAGATATTGCAGAACCTACAAAAAAAACGCACTGAGCGGAGGGGGCGCCTAAGCTCTGACAATATGAATAAAAAGAAGTCTGGTTTCAGCAAAAGCGACCTTATTTTTAAGGTAACCCGTCCTTAAAAGAAAGTGAAAAACCCGCGTTCAAGCTCTGAACAACCTACGCACTCCCACCGAACGTTGTTTTTGTTTTCCTTAATAAGTGTTTTTTTGCAACAACAAAAATCTACCGGTTTTTCCACGGCTTCTCGTTTGCTCTTAACCCGCATTATATATTGTTAATCTTCAAAATCCAATAGAGACTTGTTAAATTTTCCAATGAAAGTCAGAGCGCAACTCCGAAAGTCTCCATTGCGATTGGAAGTTGTTTTTTGTCGTGTGAGAATAGTAGAGGGGATACTGAAGCTGCACGCTGATTGGCTCGTTGATTCATCTACGTACAAATTTTATAAATTTATATTTGCTTTTTTATCTTGTTCTGCATTTCCATATTTTTTAATGTTCGTTGAATCAGTATATACAATATATTAATAGTTAATGCTTTTATAAACGTATCAAAATGATAATCATTTGTGAATCATTAATTGGCACCCGTATAGCGATTAGAAGAGATTTCATTTAGTACCTGAGTGGCACGTTTGAAGTTTTCGTTTTTTGTTATTGATTTTTTTTCTCATAACTTTAGTTCGTAAACAATAAAGGCTGTGAAACGCGCTTGCCTTTTGGGAATTGCATGAAGTCCATTGCTGTATAACTTGTTTTGTAAGGTTTTATATAGTACCGAAATTTGATCATTTATAGTAATAATTCCTGGAGTATGAACACAGAAGGTGTTTGAAAACAGTATGAAAAAATTTGCAGATTGATGGAAAATCATAAAGTCTGTATAGAAAGCTTGCAGTAGAACATGATATACCGTAATATTATTGTCATTTTTATTGACATTTACAAAAAGTAACTCAATAATGTTGTACACTGTTTTTGTTAGCTGAATGTAGTCATTATTTACGTACATCACAATACTGAGGAGAAAAGCAAAAAAAAACCTATAAATATTCAAACAATATGGACTGTCATGTGTAGGATGACTCTTCTAAAGTTAAACGTGGTGCCATCGCAGAGCAACAAAACTTCTTGTTACAATTCAAAATATAATATTTATATTCAAAAACAAGAAAGCATTTATGTGCACGTGTTTTGGGCGTCCCTTCTCTGTTGTCGCTTATCTGTACATTGATCGCGCCGTGTGTTGCTGTGTGGCACATATATTTACACTTATACTAACTATTACACACTCACTCACAGACATACAGACGAACATTATGAAAATTACGTCACGTTTAAACGAATGTTATTGTTGAGTCAAAAACAGACCATAGTCTATATTGTGGACGCCATAATCAGACGACATTATTTTATCACCACTTAATTATATACCTATTTATATTCTATACAAACGTACGTCGCTTTTGCTCCTACTATTTATTGCAAAAAAAAATGAATAAAAACGCCCCTGTAACTGCGTATATACTTTGACAGATTCTCTCATTCTTTCTTTACTCTACTTATTCTTATCTATCTCTTAATGTTTTTATCTATTTATTTATGATAATCTTTTCGAATTAGCGATTTGGCGAAGGAAGAAGATGACATAACTATCCGGAAACGTGTACCTTTGATTAGGTTATTTTCCTTTCGTTTGTTGTCAATGAATGATAAATAGAAATTCATTATTGATTTATAATTAACTTTAAATTACCACCCCCGCGTATGAGATTTCATTTTTATAACATAGGCCTTTAGAATTTTAACCACTATTTTAGACAAACCAAAAAATAGAAAGGAAAAAGCCACTACGACGTTTCCGGTTTTTATATACTCGCTAACGACTTCATTGGTTATAAATAAAAGGACAAAAACCTCTTATCTGGTGCATTGATACCTTACCAGAGGGGTGATAAAAAAACACGTCGTAAAAAAAATTTATACTTTTATACGTGTTTGACTATAGCGCATTAACACTAGTCTAATCACAATAGCTCCAATAGATAATTTTTTTTGTCTGTAAGCTTCAAGATTTAACTGTGCTTTTGTGTGGATTATAGAGCTTGAGGCTGCATTTAAGCTTCATTGTTGTCTGCAAGAGACTTTTTGATGTTTGGATGTTTTACATATATCTATTTATATTCATACAAATAATGATCTTGGTGTTGTTTTACTGCTTAATTGGCTCAGCTGTGCTTTTTTCGCATGGCTTCAATGCTTACGCATAATTTGTATCGTTGAAAAGACATGTGTTTTTTTAATTTATCTGTGTTCTTTTTTTCTTGTTCGATGTTTGTAATTGGTTGTTGATTAAACAAATAATTATAATAGAAAAAAAGGGAAGAGAAAGAGCGCCCAGTATGTACAAGTGTTATTTCAAATTGTCTGTGTATTTTTAATTTAATTAACCTCTTATGTTCAGTTACCCTTTTGGTATTTTTTTCATTTATTTTCAGTTTATTTTTCGATATCATTGTCATTTCTACGGAATATAAATTTTTCTCTCCGAGAACGTACATATATGTTTTAACCTTTTCGATAACTCGTATTCTCATTTATAATAAATTCATTTTGATTTGTGGTATCTCTTTTTTACACCACATTGGAGTATTATTTTTAAATTTTCAAACGATCGTGTCACACTTGTGTATACCAAGAAAAGAATGCACGATTTTATATCATATTTTCTATATTACTCTAGTAAAATTCGCCACTAGTTCAGATTTTTCAACGCACACGCATGTTAAAAGCGTATTTATTATTAATTTTACAAATATATATTTCAAGTAGTACTAAAACAATTGTCATTCAATTTTATGCAACATTTTTTATTATTAATTACAATTCAACAATAGTGTATATTAGCGTAAATCAGTCGATAGATCATATCTCTATAGCTCTTGATGACATTGTTTTGTCGATGTGTCAAAAATTCAATGAACCGATACCTAATTGCATATAATACTTGAAATTTAAAATGTTAATTTATGTCGCGCACGAATATCATGTGTGTGCGTTATACAATTGTCTATAAAATCCGATCATTTCAGCATTATCTATTTTACTCGACCATGTTTATTACAAAACAATCAATGTGTGTGTATATCGTTGAAACATAGTTTATGTGTACCATCTGTTTTTTTTTTTAATCGCTCTCTTTATCCCGTGGATTGGGGATAGTATTATGGCAGTCTTGTAATCCGAAGAGACAAGATTAGTGACCATCTAGATTGTGCCCCGTAATTTTTTTCCATTACTGCGCGCCAAATGTGGACTTTTCAACGACGAGCTGCACGTTCCTACGCGAAGTCCTGAAATCAGTATTAAACAAACGTATATACTATAGTCATTTTGAAAAGTGACCTTTGATCGAAAATGTCGCCGCCGATGAAGGGAACTGCTTACACCCGATCGTATTCACAGAGCGTGACGGACGACGTCACTTTTGAATTATTGATGAGTCTCTCCTATCTGCAAGCTTTTCACGCGCTAATTTTGGGCATTCGTCACTTATTGTATTACAGAATTGCCAGATTCATTTATGTTGCATAATTCATTGAAAATACGCAGATTAATCCTATAGAGTTTGCAGTCGAATTTTCAATCGAGATAAGCAGTTCTTGCCATTAAATTATAAAATAAAATTCCTACGGTACGTGCAGTAATCTAGCGTGTATACAGTGTCCTTTCATCAATCGTTAAAAACATACATTGAAAAAATCTGAGAATGTATTTTTTAATTTATTTTCTGAAACTTTATCTCCAAACATCCTACCTAGCAACAATGCATAGACGTTGATTTGTGCTCATTCAAACCTTGTAATCATGATTTTCTTACGTTCATTTCTTCGGTTGTGTACAAGTTGTAAACGAATGTAGCATGCCGAGAAAATATTTTCGATTTTAAAAGTATTACAATGAGCAGTCGACACGAAGAAATTATCAAGATTTTCGTGATTCAAGGGAGCATCGTTGTTCATTCTCAATTTTTCACTCGTACATGAATAAGAAACGAAATTCATTCATCCCAACGTTGTTCCTGAAAAAAGGTCGAGGGTTTATATCCTCGAATACATATATGATCGACAAACGAAATTTTTTATTGGCACTTTATTATTTATTTTCAATCGATTGTCTTATCGTTCGTTTCTATGTTATCATTATTATTTTTGACTCATACGCATAATCAATTAATTTGCTTCTTCTTTATGATTGTTCATATTTTTCTCTTACCAACATTTATTTTATTTTTCTGATTACCCTTTTATTATTATTTTTTGGAGAAAGAAGCGAGAATGTAAACAACAAAAGGCAAAGCGCTAGTGCTGTCGCGTGTCTCTGGTTTATTATACATATTTTACAACCCGGTTTTATTCCATTTTTTTTCAGTGTATACTCTGCACAAAGTTTGCTTACTGTACTCCTTTTTTGTACCTGCGGATGCGAGTGCATTCGAGTTTATATACCACGCTAAGCTGCACTTTGCCTTTATAGAACGAGTGGGCGAGGTGTGATTGTGTGGGGGCGCAGTAAAAAAAGGGAAAAATTTTTTTTTCTCTAAAAAAAAAGAAGAGGAAAGGAAAGTAAATCGCAAAAGTCAATTGTGGGTGGGTTTATTATTTTACGTTCTCTAAAAATTTGTTTGCGATGGAAATCAAAGGAGGGGAAGAGAACGGTGCGGGTGGGTTTTGGGTATTCGTTCGGGCAATACCAGTCGTTCCATTGAGCAATAGCAAAGAGACTAAATTGAAAAAAATTCGAACTTGTTATTTGACAGTTCCTGAACATGGCGTCGGTGTTCATGCGGATCTTCAATCTGATCTGCATGATGCTCCTCATTGGCCACTGGAGCGGCTGCTTACAATTTCTCGTACCCATGCTGCAAGGTTTCCCGAGCAACTCTTGGGTCGCCATCAACGAACTCCAGGTGAGGCCGGCAACTCCGATTCGACAATTTATTATTACGATGATACACGCATTATATATGATGATGATAATAAAACCAACATTTTCCGGCTTTAACAGGATTCATTCTGGCTGGAGCAATACTCGTGGGCGCTGTTCAAGGCGATGTCCCACATGCTGTGCATCGGTTACGGTCGATTTCCGCCACAATCGCTCACGGACATGTGGCTGACGATGCTGAGCATGATAAGCGGCGCGACGTGCTACGCCTTGTTCCTCGGACACGCGACGAATCTCATCCAATCGCTCGATTCCTCGAGAAGGCAATATCGTGAAAAGGTATGCTGCCCACGCCACCGCCTAAGTTCGCATCGATCATCGATCACGACCCGTGTTCGTTCGCTCACGCGCGACGTTATATGCGTCGTCTTGTAGTAGTACAGCCGATCGTTTAATTACTTGTGACCCGCCGCCGCTTATTGCGACTCATCTCTCCGTCTCCTTTTCCCGCTTACTCTGTGACTGATAAATGGGTCGGCGAGATTTGGCAAATCGCTTGGCATTTGTCGCGCGCAGCGAGTATTATATACATTTGTCTCTCACACTGTCCGCGATTGTTTATAGGTGAAACAAGTCGAGGAATACATGGCCTATCGTAAACTGCCGCGCGAGATGCGACAGAGAATAACGGAATACTTCGAGCATCGCTATCAGGGCAAATTCTTCGACGAAGAGCTCATTCTTGGCGAGCTTTCGGAAAAATTGCGAGAGGTAAAGTATACGAGAGCGCCCTTTGCGAAGAACTTTTGTTTCTCTTGCAACATCTATGCATCTGCTCTAATTCAATGGCACTAATTCGTTATTTGCCACTGTTTGGCATCACACAGGATGTTATAAATTACAACTGCAGATCGCTGGTAGCATCGGTGCCATTCTTCGCCAATGCCGATTCCAACTTTGTTTCGGACGTCGTAACGAAACTCAGATACGAAGTCTTCCAGCCAGGTACGAGCAAACAATTACGATCCTCGTAAAATCGATCAAAACCGCGCAAGCAGACAAATAACGGTAACTCTACACACACGCGTTAATGGCCACTTTGCAGGCGACATCATCATCAAAGAGGGCACGATAGGCTCGAAGATGTACTTCATCCAGGAGGGCATCGTCGACATCGTGATGGCCAACGGCGAGGTGGCGACCTCGCTCAGCGACGGCTCGTACTTCGGCGAGATCTGCCTGCTCACGAATGCCCGCAGAGTGGCGTCGGTGCGCGCCGAGACCTACTGCAATCTCTTTAGCCTCTCGGTGGATCATTTCAACGCCGTCCTCGATCAATATCCCCTCATGCGGCGCACGATGGAGAGCGTGGCCGCCGAGAGGTATAAGCTTTGGTTAGGGTTTGTTCTAATATCGAGTTGGTGTGCTCCGCTATATTATTATTATATGCATTGCATATACATGTATATTATCACTTGTTATAACTTTTCAATTCACGTTGTATATCTTTTCAATATTGCGAGATTGGTCGATTTCAAACTTACCCCTCAATTTTCCACCCACTTTCAAACCAGTAACAAACCAAATTACTTGCTGTTGATCGTTCCATTTTGATTTGCATCGATATCAAAAGCTCTTTCACTTCGATGTATTTTTTTTCTCCTTTTTTTTCAAATCTATTTAAAATCAGTCGTGACAATCATCTTCTTTATTTGTTGCTCGATCAATTCAAGCGCCCTCTCTTCTCTTCTTAATACTTTGCTCTAGCTCATTTTGTACGTAAAAGTATCTTTATTGATTCGTGCATCGCGAGAGTTTTATACATACGTAATACGGGAAAACCTCGCGCTTTTCGACGTGGGTGACGCCAGCGATGAAAATCTGCCTTATCGACTATTGTGCGATTCGATGCGCGAAAGCAACGATAACGATAAGGAAATTGAGTCGCTCGAGTGATAATGTTAGCAGTTGGCAACTGTCTGAACTGACATCCTTATCGCGGTGGTAACTCAGTCGTGCGGTTCTTCCTTTTTTCTCAATGATTTTACAATGATAATATTTTTTTAACAAGTGATATGCGAAAAAATAAAATGAAAAAAATATGGCAAAGAAATGAAAACGGAACGTTTGCAGAAAGGTTGTCGCCAAAAAGCATTGAATGAAAAGACAAAACGGTGGCAAGACTTGGTAATTTCCCTATGAAAACTGTTGGAATAGTCGAGGGGAAAATTGCAACATACCCAACGAGCAATTCACCGTTTTGTCTCGACTTATCCGCACCTTGTACCGCTAATCGCTATAATACAGTGTTGTTTGCTATATTGCTAAGTAATATTACATATTTTTACAAGTATTTGTGTTCTTTTACATCGCCCAATCAATTAACAACGGCAACTTTTCATGCAAACGGATCACCCTCGATCTCAGAACATCTCAGATTTTTTAATTTATTATTCCATCATTAATCAAACTGTAGTTGAAAAAGAAAACAAACTTTGGCCTTGCATCAACCTGATTTTTTCACCCCACTTTTGACACTTGCAAAATAATTTAAAAAATAAGGTTCGAGTTGGCAATTGGCATTGAGTTATTTAGTCTTGGCAAATAGACTGAAAGGTTGAATTACCTGTGTGTTGATTTTATGTTTATTTATACTATTTGATTGGCAAAAGCAACTAATGACTTTGTGTCAACACATTTTTACCCTACCCACCAATTTAAGATAATTCCGTGATTGGGTCACTGTATGTTCATAATCTTTACTGCAATTCAATGTTCAGAACACTTTTTAATGGATGTGGTTGCAAAAAATATACATTTTTTTCCGAGAGCACTTGAAATTAACGAAACTAAACTTAATGCACACTTGAACCCTATTCGAAAAAGAAAAAAATTCTTAATTCATGTACGCGCTGGAAAAGCAACGGAGTGAAAAAAATCAAGCGAGGTTTGGCAGATGCGCCGAAAGTTTCTTTTTTTATTCTACGGTTTTCGAGGCCTGATTAATCGATGGTTACGTATCGTGCAACATTCCCTACGCTTAATCGACATTTTGACGATTTCAGGCTAAACAAGATAGGCAAGAATCCGAACTTGGTCGCACATCGCGAGGAGGACCTCGGCAGCGAATCAAAGACCATAAACGCCGTTGTAAACGCACTGGCGGAGCAGGCGGCGCATGCCAGTGCCAGCGAAGAATCGGTAAATATTCAATCAGATTAGAAGTCGACAAAACGGAAAAAATAGGTTTCAAATTTGTTCTCTTATTATTAATCGCGCGCGCGTTTGTGCGCGAAAAAATTATCGAGGATAACTTTATTATTATTCTTCATTTTTCATTTTGGACAATTCAAAGCAAACATACTTACGCATAAAAGACGAGGTATAATAGATAGTACAGCTGACACTGTATAAATATAGAGCTTGTTTAAAAACAAGCGCAAGCGGGCGCAACAATTCACGATCAATGCGGAGCCATTTTTTGCAGCCGCGAGGAAAATAAATAACGACCTGTGCATGGAGCAAATCCCATTGGCGAGAGAGAGAGAGAGAGAAAAAAATGAAAAAAGATGGTACCGAACTGTAACTGACCAGAAAATTTGACCTACTTCGATCAATTCACTCTACGCTGTATAACTGATTGACTAAAAACTGGTTGTGCACTGTGGTTACAAACAAAAATTACGTCTCTCTATTGTCACTCTGGTTTCCTACAATGAAAAATAATTCAATTTCTTGGCAAATGGATTATTTGATTAATTTTACTTGTTTAACGTGAATATTTTTATGTTACTAATATTACACCTAAACTAATAACCGATTAACTAAGTTAACGATATCCAATTTTTTCCGATTAAAAAAGTTTTTAATTTTTGAATCGTTTGGTTATTATTATTTTTTAGATTCACAACCACGTTATAAGCGATAGCAGATTATGATCAAAAGTATATGATTTAAACGAAAATATTTTTTGCTACACGTCTTGATAGGTTTTCTCATTTTTTCCATAAAATTCGCAGGTCCACAGTATGGAATTAAGATCATTACCGGCCTGCTTGCTACCGCGGCCCAAGTCCGAGAACAACTTTGCGAGCCAAGAATTGACCAGAGAAAATCGTCGGATGTTCCACAAGAGCGACACCTTCCACAAAGACTCGTATCAATGACGACACTCTTTCAACTAGCCCATGCAGCGGTACTAAAGTTTCCGTCGATGCACGATGCACGCACCCACAGCACGTGGCTTAATCAGATAACAGACACCCGCATGACCAGTTTTTCTCACTTGGTCATACCTGTGCAAGTGTGTGCATAAATGCGTGTGTACGTTTTGTGCTTGTGATTCACAGTCTGGAACTGCTGAACACGCCTGTGAGTTTGACAAGAAACCACGATCTTCGCTTCGCGATACGTTTCCTTTATCTGGTTGCGCTTTTTTCACATTTCTCAAGTGCTACACAATTCAAGAAACTCAACACGCAGCGACAGCGACAAAAATCGAAGGGAAATCTTTAGTACTGCTGGACTACTAATATAATTATAGGAATATTATTATATTATAAAGAAAGTTATTATTAATATATGAATTAAAAAAGTATGATTTGAAAATCTGAATGCCTAATAAGCTCGCGAAAGCTCGTCATTATTCAAGCCCGTAAATGTGTAAAAGATAATTAAAAGCAAAATGTAACAAGAAAAACCAAAATCAACAATCGCCAAATGATAATATGTGTGTGATATATATTATTATTAATATAAATATAAGTAAAACCAAAAGGAGCGTTGACGAAAAAAAAAGAAATAACTGTTGTTTTGTTCGAACTAGCATGTTATGTGCGACAAAGTTCTTATATGCATGTTGTATACAAATCCGTATATCAATGTATATTCAATGGTGATCAACATATGTAGGGACAATGATTCATGACGACCTTTCCGGAATTATAAAAAAAAGATATATATATAGTAAAATATATATATATATATACATAAAGTATGCACGATTATAAATGATGCACATCTACAGACATAACTATACACACAAGCAAGTGTGTGCAAAAAAGAGCAGAGGCCTATGATTATAAAAAATATATATTTAAAAAAGTGTGCGCGAGATAGGACGATATTATATCTATATATTTATGAAAAAACAGAGGATTTAAAATTGAACACACTCGCAAAAACTAGGAAAACAGGACGTTTTCTTGTCTGTTGCATTAGATAAATTACATGAATACCTTTAGCAAAATGACACGATTTTCTATAAATGATATAAATATAATATATATTCGTGAAAAAAATTAAAAATAACTAAGTTGATACTATAGAGTGATGAATTGATAACATAACTATAGAAAAGTTTTATTCAGAAATTTTTTGGTTGGTCAATATGAAAAAAATGTTAGTTTTATTTTCGGCTCTACTCAAAAAGAGCATATAAATATATATATACACTCAGTAACAATAGGTTCTCTGTACAAAAAACTTTAATATTGTAAGAAATTATGTAGAGTATGAGTAATTTACATCAATGCAATATTCTGAAAACTCGAGACGGAAGATGTATTAAATTTAAACTATCGGTACTATTTTAATTTTCAAATTTATACTGGACGGTGTAGAGATTTTCTGGCATAAAATCAAAAGAGAGCTTTGAATCTTTCTGACATTCTTTGAATTTTATTCCAAGAAATTTTAAATTATTTTATCTGGAGAAATGTAGCTTAACTGCAGATATAAAAGAGAAAAAATTTGTCTTGGAATGATTTTATCGACGTCATTTGAGATGGCATCAACAGGTTCGAAACCCAAAGACCCTGTTAAATTGTTTGCGTTCTTTGGGTTTTTTAAAGTGAAAAAAATCTGACGTGCTCATTGTTGAGCATAAAAATGTTATTATATTTAAGCTCGAAATCTATGTGTGTGCATAAAAGTATCTACACGTACACACATATGTTTGAGCTGCGTATAAATGGGTGTATTATATGCAAAGAGCAAAAAATAATGTTAATAGTGTTAATAGTGTTATTCTTTTGATTTTAATAAACATTAAAAAAAGTTACAGATTATTATCCACGTTACTAAATCAAGTATAAACAAAAAATACATATACACGTTGCAGTATATTTAATGAAACATTATAAATATAATTGAATCCTATAAAATTTCTGTTTATGTCATATTCTTCGCCGCGCATATAGATGTAAAATTATTTCTTGTTTTTTGTTTTTATCTGTAATCACCTTGAAATCTATCAATTATTGTAAAAAAAAAACCGGTAAAAATATTTTCATATCAAACATATAATACTACGTTGATAAAGCTCAAGATTGAATTAGAATAAATCCATACAGCTGATTTCTTAGCGACGCACTATAATTCTACTACTTTTGTTTAAGACTATATTAGTTTCTGAATGCGCAAAACAAACATAGGACTCAGATGTGTTATTGAATATTTATAAAGACAAATTATTAATGGATTGCAAATGATGAACTAAATATAACAATAAATAATAATAATAATAATTAAATATAATTATCAATAATAATGTTAATTAATTAAGGAAAGGAGTAAGAACGCGAGGTCGCTTCTTCATTTCTGGCATGCAGTGCATTCATACCTTGATAGTATAAATAAAATAGATATACATAATGAAACATGATATATCTTGCATATAGTGTAAATACGTCCTGTATAACTGATTTGAGAGAGTAACACAAAATCACTATACATATTGTAAACATACACTATCACGAAAAAATAATAAGTTGTGAATGTTAAAAATGAGTGAGAGTGAAAGAGGTAAATGATATCTATATATTTTTTTGGTAAAACAGAGTATAATAGTTTTTATGCCTTGATTTTTCGCATTCCTTGATTTGCCTTGATATTTTACCAATAATAATGTCAATAATAAAATGAAAAAAACTATCATCACGCGAAAATTGATAAGATGAAAAAAATAATAATATGAGCTGCTATATTCACTATTCTGCTATAACTTTTACTTCGGCTGGAATTATTTAATCATGAAAAAAATCAGTCGAATATCAATTATTGATTAATTAAGTTTAACCAGAAGAGAGCTAAAAATTACGTAGTTCATAAGTTGCAACAATAGAAACAAATGAATGAATAACCATGAACAGAAAATCAATTATTACAATGCTATAACTGACTTAACAAAAAATAAAGAGAAACTATTAGGCCAATCTAAACTAATAATCATTAAATACTGTAAAGCGCAAAGCTAATACTGAGAGCTACAAAACGAACGAAGATAGATCTAGAGACAAGTACAGACGTATTTTCTATAGTAAGTATAACTGTAAATAACCATATAAGTTACAGTTGAGCTAATAATTTTGAATTCGAATCGACGTGGTACGAATAATTTTGCTTCTAAGTTCTGTTTCATAACAATTATTAAACTTATATAGGCTCACGTGTTCAGCAGCAACATAAAAAAGTATGGTGAAAAATTTATCGATCAAAACTTGCATATCAAAATAAAATAGTTCAATTAGATTTATTTGAGGTTTGAATCCGTTTCCGGTTTCGTATACAGCCTAAAACAGTGAAAAAAAGAAAAATAAATCCCAAAATTTTGTGTATGACAAAAAAGTGTGTAACTATGCTGCGCGTTTGAAACTCAATTAATATATACATAACATAATGTTAATGAATCGCGTAAATGCAAATTTATATAATAACTGAGATTTTTGTAGCATGTAATAACTTCCATTTAAAACTAGACATATGTAAAGCTTCGATAGTTGTAATTTTTCCATAACATTTCAAAATTGCTTTATTGATCATTCACCTGAGAAATTAAAACGACGAATAATCTGAAAATTTATTTGCGTAAAGAGTTTAATTTTTTTTGGAAAAACAATTCCAGTGTAGCATGCCTTATACAATGAAGATGGTAAAAGAAAATTTATTAAGTACTTCACCCTAGTGTCAATTTTCTACGAGATGAATTATATAAAAATTAACTAAATATTTAAATAAACGAGATGGTATTGCAAAAAATAATACACACGTGCGTGTACGCGTGACGAATCGCAGGTCTTGGTCGATGAAGCGCGTGAGTTTATGCATTTACAAAACGATAATACAGGTGTATGTTTGAATGACATCGCGTAGAAATATCTCTATTTTCCATTCCTAGTAACATTAATACGAATATATACACGCAGAGTGGCGTTAGGAATTGACTATATTACAATTCATTACAATATCATGAATCTGCTTTTTTTTAAGGGAAGACCACTAACAATGTAGCGTTATTGTTTTTTTTTAATTTACATACTTTCGGGTCCTCTAAAAAAACTGCTATGTATGAATTTATTATACGATATTGTGCAAAAGTTATTATTGCACCGCAATGAAAAAAAAAAGACAAAAAACATTCTTATACAAGTATTTAATCATATAAGAAACGCACGCTGTTTTTATGTTATGGCAAAAATGAATGAAAAAAAAATTTTATGTAGTATAATGAAGCGTCACTAAGTTCCTATTATAACACTTCTACTTTTAATGATTTATCGTTTAAAATTTCCTGATTTTAATTCGGAATAAAAAGAAATGTTAAATTATATTATATATTATATGAAAGTTGTATTGTATTGTATAGAGAAAAATCATAATGTAAAACGAAGATTCAATTATAAAAATGAATTAACTCTAGATATTTCGAATTACTTTTCTTTTTTATGACAAAAAAACCCAAATTCTACTCTACTACTAAGTGCTCTTTTAGAGAGTTATTATTTCCATAGCATCTATACGTAATAAAATTCAATGTCCTCGCTATCTCTTACGTATATACACACTTTGACACGCATGCACGCACGCACGCACACACCCACTCGCATCTAATAGAAGGCGCGCTTCGAACAATTTTATACTGTCATGAACACGCTTGTATTTTGCAGAATTGAAAGTTTCTTCGATAATATCAAAATAATGACAAAAGAGTCAATAATGGTAAATTTTTTGTTGTGGCGCAGTTATTACTTGTGTAGATATCTGGTAAACTCGCAATGATTTAATGACACTGCTACTAACACGCGCATATATACAACACCCTCACAAATTAATACATACGCACGCTGATATTGGTTAATGTTTTGAAAGAAACTTAATATCGTATTAATGTGAAATGAAATATTATATTAACATATTATATTGATGCGTCGTTGTGCATACAAATTGACAACATCAAAACCGACAAGTGAGCTTTTTTTTATATATGATGGAGATAATGTATCATATACTATGACAGTTTCCGATGGGTAATGATATCTTAGTTTTACGTTTGACTCTGATTATATTTTTTTTGAAAGACGGGGAAGTGTTTATTCAGCTGAGTAAGAAAATTTTTCATTAACCTAAGAGATACGAATATTTTATAATAAAAAAAACGAGTGAATAAATGCAGAATATTCAAATACAAAAGATATATTCATGAATATTGTGATATGTAGAATTAGATGACATAATCAAGGTATCGTCTTACCAAAAATTTAAAAAGGTCACTTTCAAACACAAATATCTGTGCTGAATGAATGAAACTTGCTGAAAAAATTTATCAAAAGTTACTTATTTTTAATTTACGCAATCGGTAAAAAATGATGAAAAAAAGTTTTTCGTATAAATTCTGGAACCAGAAATTTTTAATATACTTGCCATAATAAATGCCTTAGCGTAATGTAAATGTTAATGTTACACACACGTGAAATATGGTAAGGACAAAAAAAAATTAATTAGTAAAGGCATACTTTATGATATATATAAATATGGAAAAAATACATTGGAAATACTATGGAAAATTTAGTTGTTACTATGCTGTCAGCTGTTGAAAAATGATAAGAATTATTATACGTCAATGTATAGTGTACATACTGTGGAAAATATGTCGCTACAAAATAAAATTAAACGTAAGAAATTTAAAAGATGAAAACTATGTGTTAAATATACCGATTTTCTGGTATAAGACATATTTAATATGTGAAAGGAAAATAAGTGTATTCAGTTAAATCACAAAAAATGGAATGTGAAAAAATGAAAAAGAATATTATTACAATAAGCATAGCATGAGGAAAATATCTCAGAAGTTAATACTTTATAGAGAGAGTGTAGTGAACAAAGTTTCTCAGTGAGAGTCACCCTCTCTTCTTTTTTCTAAGCAAAAAAAATTTAATATGTATTCATCAGAAGTTTTTTTCCTGTCACACCCGAATAAAAAATGAAAGAAAATAGAAATGGAGATAGCCTGATGTGTGCATAAAGTCACTCGCGCTTTATCGATTTTCTCGCGACGGACACCAGTTTTTATTTTCATTTTCAATGACTAAGAGTAAAATATTCAAACAAATTAGCCCACTGATAGTTTTAAGAAAGGAAAATTCATCATTCAAACGTGGTAAAAACCTTTTTTCTTATTGAACTCAAAAAAGTATTTTAAAAGGATTGCAAATTATTCATTAATAATTTTTTTCTTCTATCTTTTTTTAATGAAAAAATCACAATAAATAGCATTAATGCGTCCGCAGCAAAAAATATTAGAAAAAAAAATGAAAATAATTCATTAGGACGCTCAATCATTATTATATTATAGGTATTAACTAAGCCGCAAAAATCGGTGAAAAAAATAATTCAAAAAATATTAGTCAATTTTGAAACATGGCCATCTTATGGTGGGGTTGCAAAGGTGATACATTTTCGTGATCAATATAATAATAATGCTTAAGTACAGTGACGTTTATTGATGGAAATAAAAAAGTGGGCTTCGCGTGATAAACGATGACAAAAAGAGAGCACACCAGCGACGTCATCCATCACTTTTTACAGGGATTGCGGCGAATGAGGAGCCCTGAAATCGATTATTAAATAGAAAAAAGTTTATTCGGTTCGGTAAATCATTTTTCTCAAAAAGATTCGCCTTCCGAGCACGTCGCGCTTTAACTCAAAGAGAGAAAATCATTCCCCCGCTGCAGAATCAAGTTTTCAAGCGAAAAAGGCGCTCTTTGAAGCTACTTCTTTCAACAAGTAGAACTACTAACGCGTCATAAATTTTTCATTCGTCCCGCGATATTTTACGAATTCTATTGTTACAAATGATAAATATTCATTCAGTCCCCTTTTTTTTGTCAAAAGCAATACTTCGTTGAAATTAGAAGTGGCATCGAAACTAGTTTCAAAGTAACAATTTTTTTTTCCTTTACTTCAACCGAGTATTCATTAAACCTTCATTTTAATCTTTCCAAATAAGTACGAGTTTTTCTAACAAAATAATCGTAGAAAATTAATAAAATTGGAAACATATTTAAAATTTTTTTACATTTTCTTTTTGAGCTTTGATGTTTGCTCGAATGCATCTACGTAAGCGTAAAAATCCGTCGGTAAAGTGCACGTTGCAAGAAAAAAAGTTATCTCTCTAAATCGTACGTACACAAGGGGGTTCTTGGAAAAAAAATGAAAAGAACAACTGAAATTTCTCTCTACTTTTCATTCCCAAATCTTTTCCGACGTGTTGGATATATTTTTTTGTTTCGCGAATAAGGCCAAGTTTTCCTTTCTTTCTATCTCTTGACTTGCCTTTCGCTCAAGCCCATTGAAAACAAACTGGCGCGAAGCATTGGCTCCGTTTGCCACGTATCCAACATACAGGTGCAGCAAATTTTCTATATAGTTACGTAGAAGTCGGCCTCGTTGGATTCGAGCCAGTCATTCGAAAAATGCGCTACATTTTTATTTAATATCTTCTTAAATTAGACGTGTATATCCCAAGGGCCGCTATACATTATGATATGCGATACGCTTCCGTTTTTCCTTTTTTTTTATCTTTCCATCGCAAAAGCGAAAAAAAGTGTGTTTTGTGTATCACGTTGCCCCAAACGTATTGGTAACAGATGCTGCGGCAGAAAAACGAGTTTATTACGTTTCGAGTCACCAAATCTAGTGGATTACAGTAAGATCAGAGGTGTGGGTATTTTATATCAAAAGAAAATTTAAAAATAACAAAAATAAACGAATGATAAAGATTAAATTACAAAAAAATGATGAGAAAACTTATACAGGAATACAATAGTAAATACTAATGAAAAATTTGTACTCAAGCAAGGTCCATACTGACCAAGTCACTTGACTCATCACTCACTCACTGAAAAACATCTACTATGAAATATGTGCTTTATATAGTTTAACAAAATAAAATATTTAAAGAAAATCAATACTTCTCTCTTCATTGGCTTTATTCTTCCTTCAATTCTTATTTTAATCAACATGATTTTTGTTTTTATAAAAATCTTAAAATATGAAACTTTTATTTACACAGTCTTGTAAGTTTTTTGTTTCTTAAACTAATCAATAGCTTATAACATCAGTCAAGGTATAAGAAGGTCAGTTGTGACCCGAGCCCTCTGTATCTGCACCGTATCGTTGCACGTCAAGTAGAGTTCCATCTCCTTTCTGAGTGCTTCCGCCGCTTCGTCCAAAGCTTGCTGCTTTTCCACGTCGAGCAGTTCCGGAAAGGCCTCGATCATCAGTTGCACGACCACCGACAATTGCGCTTCGGACCTTGAAAAATAAAAAGAGAAGTAGACATTATATCATTGTTACGAGTTGAAAAAGTGATTTTTTACCAGGCGGCGAAAAGAGTTATAATACGAAATTACCTGGCAGATATCAAGAGCCTGATGTCCGTAGTATCCTCGGCCGGCAGAACCTCGATCAGGCAGTACTGCAGCGAACCGGCGTCGCGAACAATGCAAACTTTGCAAACCTCCTTGAAGTTGTACTTGTCGAGAAAATCAATCAGTCGTTTTCCGGTGTTGGAGTTCGTCTGTACCGGCAGTAAAACGACTCTGTCCACCGAAATCGCCTGCGAACAAAAGCTCCTGGTTGATAAAAAACGAAAAAAATACACACCAACGAATCGTCGTCTCTTTTCTTTTCATTTCTCTTTTATCTCCCTCTCTCTCTCTCTCTCTCTCTTTTTATGGTGACCTACTTTTAAAGCCAATATACTAAAAGGAGCATCCTGGGGATCATCCAGATCAATCGCGCATCTACCGTTCACGGTATCCTGCACGTCCAATCTTATAACGGGCAGCCTCGTCTGGAATAATTTGTCGTCAAACTCGCAGAAAATCGTGCCGTTCGCCTCGATGCTGGACACGTTGAGGAAATTCGGCAAGCTGAGAACAGTCGTGGCGACGATGTGCTCCTCGGGATTGACCTCCTCGGACGGATACCAGTAAGTGTCGTCGACCAGCATCCAAAACGCCGTCAAGCCGTGCCAAGAATTTCGAGATTTGTCCTTCGTGCAAATGTACATGGTCGGATTTTTCAGAACGCTGGAACAAATTGTACAATACTATTTTTACTTTTATCGCTTTTATGACGGACATTGGGCTTACAAAAAAAAGATTGGATTTCGTGAACACCGAGAGTCGGCAATTTCGTTAAGATATCTCATCGTTCGTGTTTTTTTTTTTTCATTTTTTTTTCAGAAAAGGGATTATTATCGCCACGCCATGTAAAAGTTACCAGATCGCTTAGAGCTATGCGGGTTTGAAAAATATCGATAAAGCACACCGACGATATAACGCCGGACGACTTTTTTTCCGTTACTTTATCCGGGTAAAAATATTTTCAGCGCTGCAGCTGCGTCAGTTAAGGTTGCGCGTGTATGTTTTTTTATACATTATATATTTTGGCGCCAGGGATTTGTTATCCGCACGATAGCGCTGCGACGTGACACACACAGTATATTGGACAAAAGTCACATGGGCAATGTTTCCATCTGATTGATCGATAATTTTTTCCCTGGGGAAAAATCCATCCCGACATCTCTCTCACTCTCTCTTTCTCTCGACTGCTGCTGCTGCTGGCTCTCTGCACGGCGCGCCGTAGCACTGGCAAATTGAATGGATAACAGTATAGTGTACTTTTCGCGTTATATAGCCGAGGAATTACTTTTCCGTCGCGCGCCTGGAGCTCGATAGCAGCGGCGCTCCGGTAAGGAGACAAAGTAATGCGCTTTAATTAGGAGTAATACCCAGGATTGTGAATGTCGTTAAAGTTGCGCTAGCCGCGCGCGAAACACCGGGCGCGCTGCTGTGCTAGGCTATATACGAAACACTAACGAACAGAGCCCCCGTAATCAAGCGCTCGCTGGATTATATATCTGACTTTATCTTGTCTCTTGCTCCAGTTGCTGTTGTACCGCGCGCTCTCGAACTCCATCTCATCTTCGAGCAAAACAATAATGAACGAGATTAGACGCGCATTAAAAAATTGAAAATAAAGTAATGAATAACTAAACGGACTTTGCGCGGTAGTGCGGCGAGAGTTTCGCGAATGATTTACATGCCGTGCGCGCGCGACTCGGGGGGAACGTTAACAATGCATCTAGTTATACACTGAGTTTATAAGCTTGAATCGTGAATGTTTCGCGTGTAAACGAATATTCTGTGTTTATTGAACGGTAAACGAGAAAAAAATCCCAAAGGCATAATGAGCATCCTGCATTAGTGAAACAAAAGGATATCAATTGTATTGATTCCATTATACAAAATACAAAAGCCGCAGTATATACGCATCCATTTTTTTCTTTTTGCTGCTCTCATCGAGACAATACCACGTCGACTTATACATAAATCGCATGATTGCTGCGTACGTACAATTGTGCTGCTCAATCCTTTTTCTGTTTTTTTTTTTTTTTTTTATTTTCAAAATAGCAAACTCGGGGTGCGAGAAATTTCCCTGCCGTGTCGAACTCTGTCTCTGTCTGTCTTTTTGTTAACGTTGCGTAAACGCGCCTATAACCAACGAGTCCATTTAGCCACGGCAATTGTTCGTCGATCGGGCCGTGAAATTGCCGTATATATATACAGCCAAAGATACGCGCGATAGATAGTAAAATAGATATAATTTACAATATCAGCGCTGCGACAATTACGTCGCGCTCGATGACTTCCGACGACGAATCCGTGACACAAGCACGTGCTTATATTCCCCGACTGCACACGCTATGATGAAATTATTTTCGACGCGTTCAGGAATCGTGAGGTCGTGAATGCGATAGATAAGCTTTTTATATTTTTATCTTTGTTATTTTTTCTGGTATACTTCGCCATCGTGTATGAAATAAAAGCGAGGAGCGAATTTTTCCAGTCGTGCTTCCCTTTGTAAAACTCTACATTAAAATCTGAAAATTTCGACACTTGTTCCAAGAAATAAGTTCAACGATATTTCACCGACTTTTTCACCTGGAAAACTGCGCGAAATTGCAAGCATCATTAGAAGGGAAATATGCGCTGAAATTCAATTTCTGATTTTATTCATACAAATGCAAAGATTTCACCGAGTTTGCTTTTGTTTCTGCAGCGCTCAAATAATGAATTGTCGTCCATTTCTTTAAATGCGGCGTTCGTCCTCATCCACGTACATTTTTTCAAAGATACGAATCAACAAAATAAAGTAATCATGAGCATCTACATGGCTTTTGGCATGTACATGTAATACTCGCAGTCATGTTGAAGTGACGTAAATGCGTTTTCAACTCGAAAAATATAATAATGCAACAAGAATAAACAAGAAAAAAATAAAAAAAGTTCGTTATCCCTTGCATAATTTGCCTGGTTTCCTCGGTCGCTCACAACAGCACAAATGCGCATAATGTGCAATGCATAACTGCAAGGTAATGAAATACGGAATCCGAGCAAGTGCCAGATCCGAGGCAATAGCAGTAGCAGCGGCGGCGGCGGTGGCGGCAACATCAGCAGCAGCAACCCAAGGGCTGAGATCGTATTCCATTGGAAAAATGTTGCAAAGCTTCCCCGGGAGATTGATATTTTGTCGAATCGATATAGCATGTATAAACCACTGCACAGCTACTTACGTATGTATGAGTACTTTAAAATATATATAGACACACCGGTACACCTATTACTGCAATTTGTGCCTAGGCTACCCCTATATCTATACACGCAAAGAAGTTAGAGCGTTGGCGCGCGCGCGTGCGCCGAGCTTGGCCAAATCGTGTGCAGTGCACGAGCTTATAGGTGCGTGTGCACATGGAGCGTGAGGCGCACCACCAAAAGCACAGGCGGTGCAGCCGAGCGGCTACCTCCGTATAGCAACTGTTTCCATAGCAGACGCGCGGATCGACCTGCTGAAAACCAGAGTTAAACTGCACACCGCTGCTGCTTTCGCTACTACTTCCGCGTATAATAATTTTGAATGTGAAGAATTTGCGAGCCGAGGACGAAATATAGACTCTCGTGCAGCGGCTAAGCTTGCGCAAAGATTAAGAGAGAAAGAGAGAGAGAGAGAGAGAAAAAGCTCGCGACGATGGAAAAGCTAGACGAGAGCTTGCGGAGAGAAATTGGATTATCGGGCAGAAGATAGATAGCCGGTATGGAAAAACAAGGGGGAGAAGGAAAAGAGAAATGAAATATGAACTTTATGCAGAAGTAACGAGAAACCCCGAATTATGTATTATATTTATCGCGCTGTGTCTCTATTTTTCCTCGTCCAAGCGGCGCGCACACTGGCTAAAAATATATCGCCGGTGGATTAGACGCGCGCGCGGCCGCCTAAAGTAAATAAAGGGAGCCTGGAAAACTATTTGAAATTTCTCTCGCCCAATCTGATAAATGAGCCGTGATGCGGCACAACACTTCAGCGTGCCGCGCGGTACAGTGGACCAATAGCAAAAATTGATCAGTTATTAAAGGACGGAGCGAGAAACGAGAATGAAACTCATTTTTTCTCTGCTCCCAAAGTCCGCGCTCAGGGTCCACAGTCGATTAAGCAAAAAAGAAAGGAAAGAAAAAAGAAAGGAAGAAAGGAAAAAAAAGGAAAGAACCGATCCTTATAGCTTCCTCGACGTAGCTATATATACGTATATACCATGGCACGTCGTTGGCGTCGTCGTCGACGCGACACATGCGCGTTATGTAAAGGGTAGGGAGCAGCGAATGCCTCTATATAGCGCACTTGCCTCGTATATACATCTATAGCAGTAGAGCATAAACTAGCCGGCGGCGGCGCCGCACCTTATACGCGAGCAGCAGCAGCAGCAGCAACGGCGGCGGCCAACCAGCCAGTGGTAGAAACGCTTTTAGTCGTCTGTACGATGCCGACGCAGTGACTTGGCTCGAGCTCTCTGCTACTATCGCGAACACGCACACACACCGGGTGAAATCAAACAAGAGAGGACAGATAAAGCAAAAAGGACAGCGGCAGCGGAGTACGCACACGCTTCGACGAGTGACGAGTTGAATCAGTGGCGCTTGACTTTGGATATAACAAAGCCGAAAAAAGTGACGAGCAAAAACGGGGGGACAACAATTAAATAAAGCTGTGTGCGAATCGACGAGACCGACGAACAAGATGTCCAGGCTACGATAGTGCTCGATGAAATCATAAAACAAGAGAGCTTATATGCCCGATTACTGTAAGACATGTTGTTATAGTACCTTTATCTTATATAGATATTTTGAACGGGGAGGGATGTCATTGCTCCTTTTTTTGCACAGGGGTTATGTAGGTATTAAGAGTGAGAGAGGGAGAGAGCGTGCGGACCAGGTGTGCTTGCGAGCTTGCGTGTGCTTGCCTGCAGAGAATCCTGAGAGTATAATTTGGCTTTCTGTGTACTATGTACTGATATAATTTCAACATTTCTCGTTTAACTCAAGAATTTCACGCTTTAAAATTTAAATTTAATGAGATTGGAAAATAATAATAATAGTAATTTAAATGACAAAAAATATTATATCCATTACACGTATTACTCGAGGCGTGCTTTCAACGTGAAAAGAAAAACGAGAGAAAGATAGAATCGATTTTCTATAATCATTGTTCACGCGAAAATATAAAAAACAAAAAAGAAGGCAACAAAGATCAGTCGGCTGCAAATGCCAAGCTATACGCGCTCTTCTCTACATATATACCTTGCCGACTCAAAGATATTTATGCAGAGCAAACGAGGCAAAGCTCGCACAAACACACATGCACACGCATGCACACACGTAGTATATAGTATATAGTAAATATATAACGTGGCTATAAGGTAGTGCTCATACCCAAGGGGGGATGAAAACTCGACGTTTACTTGCTCGAATGAAAATTGCACGATGCGAAAGAGAGACAAGAAAAAGTGTGTGCAGACACGTGTATAGCATCGCTGACGTAACGCGCGCACGTCCATATAGCCGCCTGCCAGAGCTGCCATAGACAGGCAGCGCAGTAGTAGCAACATCAACACAGCTGACCATCTATACTATTGTAATTATACACCGTCGTCGCGTACATATATATATGTATCTAACGACAGAGATCGCGGGAAATGCGTCAACGGGATATCCTCTCGCGCTCGTTGCTGCGCTTCTTTCTCGACTCGTTTGACAAAATAATCGGTTCTTGAATTTATAAAACATTGTGTAACGGGTAAACAACGTCCGAACACAATTTTTCTTTCTCTCTCTCTCTCTCTCTCTCTCGTTCTCGCTTTTTAATCAGAAAACGCGGCGCTCGCTCGTTCGCGCGCGGCAGGGGTGCCTGATGAAAGCAGAGCAAGTCCGTCGCAGCTTCCTCCCACTTTCTCGTCCCGCGCACGCCTTTTCCTTCGACAAACTTTTCCTCCGGCAGTGAGCGCCAAAGAGAGAGAGAGAGAGAGAGAAATTTTTTTTGCTCCTACTAGTCGGGTTTAATTACCCTCGCAGATGTGCTGCTATATAGCTTCTCGCCCTGTGCACGCTCGGGCAGTTTTAAAATATTAAAAATCGTTCGCGAAGAAAAAACTTTTTCAACCTAATTCCTTACGTAATGCACGTGTCTAGGTTACTACTGAAACAATGAAAGATGGGGTGGGGTGGCTAAAAAGCGACGGTTACAAGAATCGTATACGCTCACGAGCGAGTGTTTTCCGTCGGTTTCGAGGTACCTGAAAAAAAGAGACTTTCGAGGGAAAAATTAGGGTGAAGTTATAATGGGCGTAGCCTCGCAGCGCGTCTCTCGCCGAAAGCCCCAAATTTGCCTCGCGAATCCGAGCGTGTGCGAATATTATGACATCGCGTTACAAATTCATAACGCAGCAGCAGCTATAGTAGCAGCTCGCGAGAGCATCGGCAATCGAGGCCATATTTATCCGCGGTATTGATGCGCGCAACAGAGCAGCAGCTCGTTCGATAAAATTATCGCCTACGGCGCGTAATACATTATACACGAACTAATTAGCGAAAATAGCGAGTATAATTAAGCTTTTCGCGGGCTCGCGAGCGAACGATGCCCACTACACGCTTGATTTCGAATTCTAACGGGTCAGCAACAGCAGCGGGGGTGAGCGCAAAAAGCCAATAGCGCGCGCACGTCAAGTACGCGGCTAGAGGCCGAGCGAGCGTGGCTGGATGATCGCGTCGTGTTCGCCTAAATAAACGAGAGGCCTCCTTGAAAACTCAGTCGAGATACACACATACTGGAACACAGACGACTTTGATGGAATTAATTATAACGTGTATAACGCGTCTGCGAGAAGAGGGCTTTTACCCCCGCTTTTGCCCGCGATGAATATGCAAAACGATTTTATAACAGCTCGCGCGGCGCACTTGCCGAAAGAGCCGCAGAGCGAGAGAGAGAAAGAGATAGAGAGACAGAGAGAGAGAGAGAGAGAGAGATGGATTGAGACGAGAGAGGTCGCGGCGAGTAGAGAGAGAGGATTAAAAGCGACGATTGATTCGGAAACTGCGCGCATAGCCAAGTAGAGAATTTGAATTGGGAGAGGTACACCGCAAGGTATCGTGCGCGCCGTGCGGCTGTGTTTGTGGCTGCACCCAAGGATTGGATTGCTTTAATCCCTTTCCCCTTTCGAAAATGGACTCATCAATCGACGTGTATTAACTACATATATGATAGATATCGTATATCGTTATATATATACTTTGAAACACGCGACATTTCAAATGCATTCGACACTTATTCCAATGAATATCAAGGGTAAAGAAGCTTAAATATACAAACGGAGATCCGCGCAGTTTGCGTGACGAAGAAGAAAAGCTCCAAAGCTCTGTATACATAGTACATCGATACCGAAGCCGAGGGGGTATATAACATTCAATTAATTTAGAAAAAAAAGCCCATTCGCCCGCGTACTGCGGAGGAAGGGGGAGAAGAGATTTTCTTTTTTGGCTCACCGGTAATTGGATTCCGCATCAAGCAGATTACATGTACGACTAGCTTATACTCTCGTATATCTCGCTACACACGCACACACACACGTACATACATGCTGCGGACGACGACGACTGTGCCCGAGCGATATTGCGAGCGCGTCTGCAGTGTGTGTGTGTGTGTGTGTGTGTGTGTGTGTGTGTGCAATATACGGACATGGTCAGTGGCTAAGTCAATATTGAATCGAACTTACGGTCCAACCGCAGGTTCGCGTATCCGTGTACGTATCGCATGCACATGCATGCATGTATGTCTACGCGCGTGTGTGTGCGTGCGTATATATAGCTATGCGTTTTAGAATTGAGTCGCTCGCTTGATAATTAGACTCTGCAGTTTATTGACTAGAGCCGATGGATTTCACAAACATAGTAGTATATGCTCGTTAAACGCGCGTTTATATGACAACTCCGCAGCGCGAAGCTATTTTTCCAGAGTTAACTGAATCGGGCGCTATTTCCTCTTTAGGGTTTATTTAAAAAAGAAAACAGTTCGTCCAGGCGTCCAGAAACGAATCATGGAGGAGTTGAAATTTCGCGGTGCCACGGCGGGCGCGCTGGCGCGTTAAAACTCGAGTCGTGCATTATACAATAGGGTCTATTCAAATTATACATATACACACGACGACGACGACGACGCCGTCCGTCGAGCTGCGGAGGCGCGGCGACGTCGAGCAGCAGCAGCAGCAGCAGCACATACAGCTCTCGGCGCATGCACACGTATTCTGTTAAGTGCCTGAAATAATAGGGTCACGTTAAGTGGCAAAATTAACTGATTACTGAATAGCCTGAACATTTTTCCTCTCTCGCTCTCCTTCTCCCTCCAGCTCTAGCTTTCTCTCTCTCTCTCTCTCTCTCGTTCGTGCTTTGCTCAGCAAAAAAAATAAAATTTCCTCCCGCGCCCATTCATAGAGCGGCGCAGTATGCATATATTATTATAATCGTGCGCAATTGTCTTATACGTTGTTTAATGATTTAATTTCGCAGACCGCTATGAGGTGGCACGAAGCAGGAACCAGGCAGTGCCTCTGCGCGGCGGCCAGAAGAAGATGACGATGCGTCGGCAGGCTTGGCTGGCCGTGATGCGTCGGGCACTCGTCGCCTCGGGCATACTGACCCTACTGATATTCGCCTTATTGACCAATCAGGATCGCGGCGGTGGCGGCTCGTCGCAGGGATCCTCCGCCTCGGGGCTTGCGGGCGGCGCCGCGAGAGCAGCCTTCAGACAACGAGCCAACGAGGTATGTTTGTTACTATATCCTTCCTCCCCCGAGAGAGTGAATTATTATTACACGACGATATATTGGGATCTCTCTCTCTCTCTCTCTCGCAAGCACAGATTGCTCACGCGTTACAGTTTAATAGTTCACCGCAGCCAGCCAGAGATATGTGTCCTGTATATAAGCTCTCTCCCTCTCGGATCGTTAATTAGAAATTCAGAAATTTACATAAGGGGGCATAACGACGTCGCAAGAATCGATATTAATGCACGCGAGAACGAGCACGCGAAGATCGCATCGTCGTCGTCGTCGAGAGGGTGCAGAAAAAAAAAAGATAGAGAGATAGAAATAGAGAGAGAGAAGAAGGTAAAAAAACATTTTATCTACCGAATGATTAATAATACGAGCTCTAGCGGGTGCACGAGGGTATGTACGTAAATTTACCCAACGGCAGCAGCAGCAGCAGCAGCAGCAGCCCAGTCAGCCTGCGCGCAAATATAAACTCGCGGAAGTGTGCAAATAACACACACACTCGCCCAAAGAGAGAGAGAAGTAGAGGGTGTAAACGACAAGCAAAGTCGTCGCATTAATCTTCGCTCGCGTTGTACAGTCGCGCGCGTGCTGCCATGTAGGTATATATATACGTACAGCTACAACGAGCATGTGTGCGTGTGTGTTTGTGTGAATAAACGAATACACACACGTACATACGCGTGGGTGGGTATTTTCTATTCTCAAAATGGCCGACGATAAAAACAACGACATCGGCAACAACAGCAATATAACAACAAAAACAACAACAATGACAACGGCGACAACGACGAAATTAAACAGCGAGAGAAAAATAAAAAAAGGGAACGGGAGTATTGGCCATAACGAATATTAGCTCGATGCGGCGAGCGCGATAAAATAATTAGGTTAAAGGCTGGTCTTTACTTGCTCTTTGGAGCTTGTTATCTTCTGATTTATTAATTAAATCCGGGAGCGCCCCCGCGTCTCTCTCTCTCTCGGCTTTGCGAAGGCGATCCTCGACTCTTTCAATTAATTATCTACCACAACAATCTTTGCGCGCGCGCGCGCGTGCCCGGTGCTTTTTCTTTATTATTTTCTTCTTCTTTTTTGTTGATGATGCTTTGTTTAAAGGAGAAATTAAAATCTTTTTAAAACATTCCTTTGTCTCACTTTTGGAGGCGTAAATCTTCCTTTAGTGTCTGGCCTCAAATTAAAAAACATCCCAAAGAAAAGAAAGAGATAGAGAAGACCGAGTGCATCTTTTATAGAAGTAGAGGCAATAGAAGAGAATAGGAGAGCCCCACCCTGTGTGTAGGTATACGTGTACGTATGTATGTGTGCTTGCATGTGATAGCGAAAGCACATCTTGCGCATACACAAAGAGGCTTCTCCGTATCTGAAGCTCTCTCTTGTGAGTATCACGCGTATGTGTACGTACGTATGTATGTGGGTGTGTGTGTTCTACGAGTGTCTTTGCTGTCTCTCTCTCTCTCTCCGTGTGTTAGTTCAACGTTTGCCAACTCTTAATTGCGAGCTAGAAGCATTGAATTATTTAGCGATGCTCCCCGGCTTATAGGCGACATCTCATCTCGGCCAAAAGTCAAAAGCTCGCGCGCGAGCGAAACTTTGAGGTCCTTTACTTTATAAAAGAGCGCGCCTTCATATATACGTAAATGCGAAAACAGCTCAGCTCTCTGTCTTTCGCGCATATAAAAAAAACGAGAGACTCCGCAAGCTCGTGTTCTTAAAAGTATGATTTCGAACAGTTGAGAGGATTTATGAAAACGCGCGGAGGGCCAAAAGCGCGCGCGTCTTACGTAAGATAATGTATAGCACGGCTGCTGCAATAACGGAGTAAGGAAAGTTTTTCTCGTTTTTTTCGTTGTTGTTTCGTTTTAAATATCAAACGGATTTCACGCGTTTCGTGTATGATCGACGAAAGCTCATTACGTTTTTGTACCGTGTCCTATGCTTTCCATGCCCGACCAGCTCGTGCATGCGGCTCTGCCAAAGCGTATACACCGACATTTTTTTTCCTCTTTCTTTCTTTCTTTTCTTTGCTCAACATCGAGCTCTGTATTCGAAATATCGGCTTTTGTTCGCTAACTCGCATTCGCGCGATGGAGAGGAAAAAATGTTGTAATATATACGTGCCAGGACAGCAACATCGACGTGGCCTAGTTAGCAAGTTGTTGGGCGTTGGTGTTGTTGTTGCTGTTGCGGAGACTCCTTTTGCCGTTATTGTTACTGTTGTCGTTCCTCGTCAATTATTGGTTTATAGCACGATACGTGTGTAGCTATTGACAACTGATACGCGCAAAAGGAAAAAAAACGTCAAAAAATTGCGTAGCATTGAGGACTGAGCGATCGCATGCATTTTTGAATTTAACGCGGCCTTTTTCGCATTGCTGCAGCCAAATTCAGGGCATTTAACTTTTTAACAAGCAATCATTTGAAACAAAAAATGTATCGTATAACAGCGTACACTTCCTTTTCGAAACGGCTAACCCTGTTGTTTCGATTTTTTTTGCTGCTAGTACACGTAAAGCTCAATACTCAAGGCTGCGTTAATGTGTTTCGTAAACGAAACACGAATTTTTTATCGAAAGCGCCATTTCAGCTTTTTTTAAAACGAGATTATCTTTTTTAATGTACCACGGAAAGAGTCAGAGAGAGAGAGAGAGAGAGAGAGAGATAGAGATAAAAAAAATTGAAAACAGCTAGAAAAAGCTGAGTAATCGCCTTTGGAAGTGTCAAGCGCGTGTCCGACGAAACAACAATTTTTTCGATGCCATAACTTTTCTCGACGTACACGCAGACTGGCTCGCTCGCACAACCACATATACGATGGCGTGTAGTGCAACCGCGAACAAATTTTCCAGCACGTGATCGTGTATGCGGCGGCGTTACAACGACATATTATAATGACCTTGCGGACATCATCTCTCATTCGACGATAATCTGTCGCTTCAATGTCTCTCCTAATATAATTTTTTTCCTTTTTCAAACGTTTCGAGCTTGTCGGAAAAATAACAAGCTTTTTTATACGTGCTATATATGCACGATCGCTCAACGAGTCACGACACATAAAATGAAAATCGCACGGCAGGCAATTTCGTTCTTTCTTCGCTTTAGCGGGTTAAGGGCGTGTGTCGCGCAGCGACACATACGGCTAGATACAGGCTTCAAGATACGCCGCACTATACTGCATACTTACATCGCCCTTGACCTTCTCTCTCTCTCCTATAACAATCATTCCGACGGGGAGGGAAACGACGACAGTTAAATTAAAAGCGATGAAAAAAGTTAGAGCACCCACGATATCGTGCAAAATCTTCAGCGTGTATATAAGAGGCCGCGCGATTGAAGGACAACACGGTGCTAAACAGAAGTTCCTTAATAATATACACAAGCTCGCGCGGGCGCATGCAGCTAGCTCTAGTTAAAGTAAATAAAAAAAAAAAGAAGATGCCGACAAACTTTTTTCCTTGCTGCAGCAACGAATCCACTTTAGCTAAGTTAAGGGTGGAAAAAAGTTTTCCTCTCATCACCGCGCGCGAGTAGTCTTGCGCGCGTTGCTGCTGCTGCTGCTGCTACATACGAGACAGGTATACACTCTGTACACGGTGCAAAAAAAGCTCAGTCTATAGCGCGACTTAATTTTCATCTCCGATCGGTAAAACGAATTTTTCTCCTTCTTTCCTTTTCTTTGCGAGCTTTCGACGAAATTTTAAGTGACGCGTGGATACTATAACTAGTTCGGAAAAAGCTTCGGTTCATGTATAATATGTATAATATGTATTATGGATAATTCATCCCGCGAGAAAAAAATTCACCCGCCAGATTATATCTCGAGCTCGAGAACAATGGCGTTTGAAAAAAAAGTAGAAGAAGCGTACTCTCTCTCTTAAGATACTGCACGAGTTTCGCTCTCTTTCGTCGTCGTCGTCGTCGTCGTCATCGTCGTCGTTGGACAAAGTGTCGTATATGCGCCGCTCGAAATGCCGGCCTCTCTATACACGCTTTATTATACCCCGCAAGAGAGAAGCAGCAGCAGCGGCAAAAAGAGAAGAGTTGAAAAGCTTTCCTCTCATTTTTCATTAATACCTTCCGCCTGTGCGCAGCGAACCCTCTTTCTCTCTTCCGCGTCCATTCATTATTTCCACACTGCTACCTGCCTAACTCTCCTCTATTCTCTCTCTCTCTCTCTCTTAGCTGGGTTCTTTAAGATAGAACTTTTGACGATCACGCGCGGCGGGATATTCCCGATGCAGTCGCGGAGGCATATATAATACACGTTTAGCCCACTTTCGCGATCGTCGCGTCTGCCTCCTCGTGTGCAGTTTTATATCAAATTATACGTCGGGTTTTATCAAATTACGAAGTGCGAACTCATTTTCAGAGCTTCAGCGCGGGATCTTACAGGCGCGCGCGCGCACACACGTACACTTACGCGGGGTGGGTGGCTTCCCGAGCGAATCTCGAGATAGGGCTTATCTAATGGCACGAGTTTGAGAGTGTGCCTGCGATGAAAAATACTAGCTACTTTTTTTCCTTTATTTTCATCGAGCACAGGGAGAGAAGTAATTTTGACTTTTTTTCCATTTAAACTGGATTCGGTCCAGCAAACTGCGGATTTAAGCTCGGCTCGTATAGTAGTTATATATAAAACGTAAATGAATACTCATATCCGACGACGACTACGACGGCGACGACTACACGACGAAAGAATAATGTACAATATATCACGCAGCGCTTGTCGATCAATATTAAGTATTACACAACACGCGTATATATATACGGCGCATCGCGCGCGAGAGCTTGATACATGGGTGCCATTTATCACGCGTTTATCGAGTTTATACTTTAATTACAAGCCAAACGCACACAGTCGGCAGTGAGATATTATGACATCGTCTAATTAGTACCATGATAAATACTCTCTTTTAACGACGTTGTAATAACATCCTCCGACGTCGCCGGTCGCTACTCGGCGATCTTTTATTGTTGTTATTATTATAGATATTCGAGTATAAGTTGGACATTTGAACTTGATCAATGCGCGACGCGTCTGATGTATCGTTGTTTTCGAATATATGTATACAATAATAGACTTCATGCTGCATATACATAGAGACACGCAACGCGAGAGCAGTCGTGGAAACGCTAATGTGGATTTTCGATGGAGCTAAAGTAGAGCGAAGTTTAAAAGCCTCGTGCACTTTGCGCTGAAGGCTCTCTTGGCTTCTATACATTTATACTGCAGGTACATATAGAGGCTCTGTAACTAAAGTACGAAAAATAGAAGATTTATCTTCTCTCTCTTCTCTCTTTCGAGTGGACGATGAAGCGAAAAGAAACAGCGAGGGAAGAGAGCGGAGCAAAAAAAATGAGAGAGGATGGCGTGGATTCGCAAAAAGGTCTCGAAACGATTTTAAAGCTCTTGGTCGGCGACGAGCAAGTAGCAGCACTACTCGTGTGCCGCTGCCGCCACACGTACATTGTATTGCTCCGCGTCGGCGCGCGTGTATGCGTGTGCCTAAGTGGCAGCAATTTCCCTTATGTATCATAGTCACTTGATGGCAATCATATTCAGCTCTGCGTTATATTTGCGCGAGAAACGAATGAGAGCAGCACGAGTCACTCGGTCACGCAATATATAACGTATATTTCTCTGACCTTAACCTTTTTGTACGATTGCGGCGTGTGCTTGCGTACGCGTGCTATGTGCGTCGCGGCGCGAGCTTATAGGCGACGTGCTTGCAATATTATATGTATCACATTTATACGCGCGTATATTACCGCGTAGCCCCGGTGCGTGATTTTTCTCAATTGTTTCGATACGTATGCGTTGCCGCTGCTGTTGCCTCGATGATACGTACCAAGCTCTATATGTTTTATACATATGCTCGGGGTATGCGCAGAGGGTGACATATTTCTAGCTATATAATTTCTCTCGAGCGAGCAAAAGAGCATAGTGAAAATCTCGTTCTCGCTCGAACAAATATTTGACAGCGCGCGCACTATACGTACACACACACACTATGCATATGTGTACACATAATGACCCCAGCAGCGCGTTCGTCGAGGCGCGAGAAGAGAACAGAGAGCGACGAGGAGAAAATAATAATACGCTCGCACAGACGCACACGGAACACGTGCGAGTGCAAAAAAAAAAGACGAGTTCGAAGTTTATATACCTTTGCGCGTCGTCGTCGCAGGGTGCACATTGCGTACGCGCCATTCGAGGGATTATTTTTTTTCTCATTAAAACCGTGAAATATTTGTACGTACGCTCAAAATGCGATACGATTGAAAAGGTTTAACGACCTCGTACTCGCATACAAAAGGTTCATATTTATCAACGCTCGAGAGTAGTGTTAAAAGTAAATTTTAAAAATAATAATCATAATAAATCGCAAGTAGAACAGGTCGGTTATTATAACACGTTTCGTCTGCGCGCCGCAACAGCAGCAGCTCTCTTCCCGTCGAGCTTATTCACTTTAATATTCAATGCATAAATGAGACTCGAGCAATTTTTTTTTATCGCGCGCGCGCGCATATACATTTCTTAAGGCTCGTTTCAAGGAGTATGGCTTCCGCCGCCCGTCGAGGCGAGGCGAGCTGAAGCAGTAGCAGCAGAAGCAGCGCGGCGCATGCTTTTTTTCCACGGACATGCCCCGGCGCGTTGAATACTTTATAAAGTGGTACTTTAGAGATGTACAACGGGAGCATAAAGGGGGGGTGGTGGACGTCGGGGGGAACGGGAGCGCGCGCGAGAAGAAAAGAAGAAAATGGCATTATGACATAATCCAATCACTGACACCGAGACGTTGAAGAATTAATTCATGATATAAAGCGTTCGTCTTTGAAGCTTTTCACGCGTTATATATCTTTCCCTCTTGATTAGGATGATCGTAGCATAATTCACAATTGCAATCGCAAGTCATTAAAAAATTTAAACTCATTCTGTGTAATCGTTCGAAAGACACGTTTGGCTCTACTATATGCTGCACACATCGACGTTATGCATATCATTTGCATGCTAATACACGCGTACCGTATGCGCTTAAAATTTCTGACATTGGCGTGTCTGACATTTCCAATTCGTGTCCTTCCGAATTTATACTACACGAATAAAAAAAAAAAAAAAAAAAAAAAAAGAAAAAAGCATCAAAAGAAAAAAGTGTGCCGCAGACGTCGCTCGCGCGCCAACCAATCGATCAAAAGAGAGCAGTAGTAAGCTCTTCTCCTCTTTGGAGGTAAATGGGCTGAAATTTCTCGCAATTACTTATAACGATATAACGTCGGCGAGCGCAATGGGGTATATAGCACGTGGGCCAAACCTATACAACGTAATGCTGCTTGTCGTCGGTGCAGTAGCAGTAGCAGTAGCAGTAGGAGCAGCAGCAGCAGTGGCACTAGCAACGGCGGCGGGTGGGCGCGGGTGGATCGTTCTTATACCAGTTCTGCGGTTTATAGCAATGCAGGCGTGGCCCACATTAGCCTCCTACAACAACCTTATGTATATACGTACATACAGTCCCCACGTACGTATACGTAGGTATATACATATACGTTACGGGTGCAGGCAGCAGTAGCGGGTATAGAGCGCGCATACAGTAGTAGCCGAAATCGATATAAGCGTTGCACACACACTGTGTGCATGTACGTATACGTGGCTGCTGCTCGCTCGGGAGCTTGCACACACACAGCCACTCGTACACGCATACATACGTACGCGCAGACACAAACACGCGTGCGAGTCGAGCGCATTATGTATAGCAATAGTATATAATATATGTGCAATGCGCGGAATGGTGCACACACGCTGGCATGCGCGGCTAAAGCGCGTACATAGTAAACGCGCGTGTAGAGGTATATAGAGCATTACACGCACAGCAGCCCGCAGGCTTGCAGAACCGATTTTCGCGCAGAGAGCGAGATTTTACGCTTAAGCGCCACGTACTTACCATCGTGTAAGGGGATGCGATATAAGGGATTAATTCGACAGTTATACGCGCCTAGTGGTGATTAAATTACGAGTAGATTTCGACGCCCTCGGGCCAGTGAGAGAGAGGCAGGGATTATAGTATAAGGTCACGTTTGACCGGTTATAAAATTGCCGAGCTTTAACTTTTACAAAACTATTTATACGTATATATACTACGCTATACGTATAACTGCGCTCTCAAATAGTTTGGAATTAAAGTCGCGCCGAGCGCAAACCCGTATAAAATATACGCGCTAGGTATATATAACGGGTCTCGCGCGCTTATCTCGACGAAAACGTTGAATTATCGTCTGTGCAGGCGGAAGTACATCCTTTAAAATTGCGTAGAAAAGAATCTATTATTATTATATAGACGCACGCGTATATATACGAGAGAAAATCCGATGGCTCTTCAAACATTTATACAGGCGATTGTAAAACTAGACATTTTCGAACGTTTAAAAAAGCAAAAAAAAAGAAAGGTAAAAGAGGAAAGAAAATCGCGAAAGATTTCACACGGATAGTATACATATAGTGGGAAAATATTTTTTTGTCGAATAACGACCCGAGAGACTCGGGCTGTGCGCGAGAGCAAAGTGCCGAGTGCGTTTCAAAAAAATGGTAAAAAAGATAGAGAGAGAGAGAAAAAGAAAAGAAAGCAGCAAGTGAGCGCGAGAGAGAAAAACTGTCTTCGTCGACATTGTCCTTAATAGAGCTTGTGAGAGCAAGCGAAGAGAGAGAGAGAGAGAGAGAGAGAGAGCTTTAAGCACACTAGTTATTCTCTCAATGCTTATAATCGAGTCACGCGCGCGTGTCAAAGTCATCAAGCTTGCGGCGGCGGCGGTAGCGGCGGCAGAGCGAGAGAGTCTCAAGGGGCTTCTACATCGTGCCTTATTACGCGCGGCTTAGCTGCAAGCTTATACACGCCGTATACACATTGTATTTCCTATATATACTACTATACAAGCACAAGTGTACCACATGTGTAGGTAGGTTTGGTAGAGCACTTGTACTCGAACGTCGGTTTTACATGCCCTAGTCCGACCGCACGCCGACTATAATAATGCGACTGCTCTGCGACTCGCGAGAGAGGCTTACGGATTACCATTTAAACGAATGTACATAGTCGCACTCGACGAATTTCCTCCGATATTCTATTGCTGACATGCGTGCTTCTTTTTATGACAGGACTACAATGGGCTGTCGCAGGAGGATCGCGAGATGGAGTTCTATCGGTATCGCGAGACGGAGCGACGCATGAACGAGCGTCGCAAGTTCCTGGCCGAGCGCTGCTCCGAGGAGGGCCTCGACAGGCCCGGCAACGACTCGCTGCATCGGCCCAACGCCTGGGAGTTCCTGGTGAATCGCGAGCACCACCTGATCTGGTGCAACGTCTTCAAGGCCGCCTCCACCTCCTGGATGTACAACTTCAATCTGCTGGCGGGCTACAGTCCGCAATTCCTCAAGGCCTCGAAAGCCGTGCCGGTGTCGCTGGCCAGGCAGAAGTATCCGCGGCCCACGGCCGACGAGCTCGCGAGGTATCTCAACGACAGCGTGAGCTTTCTCATAGTCAGGCACCCGTTCGAGCGGCTGCTCTCGGCCTATCGCGACAAGCTCGAGCACAGCCTGCCGCACACGTTTCACAGCAAGCTCGGCTCGCACATCATATCGCACTACAGGCTCAAGGTTCGTGTATTACATTTATTTGTTTGCATAATATTGTCGCGAGCACGCAGCGGAACAACTTGAATCTCGTGATTGGTCGGCAGAGCACGAAATCGGGCGGCAAGCACGGGCCGCGTTATCCGCTCTTCGAGGAGTTCGTGAGGTGGCTGCTCTGCGAGTGGAAGGCCGGCAACGAGCTCGACATGCACTGGACGCCCATCGTGAATTTCTGCACCCCCTGCCAAGTGAGATTCAACGTCATAGTCAAGTTCGAGACTCTTCACGTTAGTATATGCATACATCTCTGCGTTATATACGTACCCGACCGCAAGCCAATCCAATTTCTATGCTAAATAGTTTACCTAGCCCCGATATGAGAAATGATTTATTATCTACGCGCGAAGCTTTGCTTAGTTCCAAAAGCGAGTCTCGAGCGAAATTTTATAATTTATTCTTCTTTGATGTTCGATCCCGCTGCAGGAGGATCAGAGCTATCTGATAAAGCACGCCCACGTGGGACACATCATCAAGCCCGAATGGAAGAATCCAACGCGCGGCGTACAGACCAAGGATGTGATGAAGCAGTACTTCTCGCAATTGTCCAAGGCCCAGATCAAGCAGCTTTACGACATGTTCAGGTATGTAATACGAGTCGATTTTCGCGTGCTTTATCAAAGAGCTTGTACATTTTTTGTTTTGCACAATTTCTGTATTTCTCTTTCTGTCTCTGTCCCCTAGGTATGATTTCGTCCTTTTCGATTACTCGCTGAAGGAATATTTGGCTAACGGCAGGGACGAGGCGACTCAGCTCGTATGCAAGAAGAAATGACCCGGCGCCCCCGTGGGGCCGCCTTTCTCCATGCTGTACTGAAGCGAGAGAGCCAGAAAGAGACAGAGAAGCACACAACGAAGCTGCTGCTGCTGCTCATTTCAGTTTTTCGCAAACTATGTAAAAGCGACCCTCGTACATACTACACGCATACTACTGCACGGACAAAAAAGTGCGCGCTTATTTTTGTAGAAATGGAGGAAAACCAGAGCTTTTATATCGCCGTGAATGTGTTGTCGTAGGAAGGAGAAGAGACAAAAAAGAGAGAGAGAGAGAGAGAGAGAAGAAAACAATCGTGTTGTGTTCGTTGTTACCCAAAGTTGGTCGCACCACTCCTAAAACTTACCAGTTTAATATACTTAACAAAAATAAAAAGAGAAAAAAATAATAATGCAAGAAACATAATGAACAGGCGCACCGGCGCGCGACGTGTATAGTACTAGTATTTAAATATAAAAAAGTTGTTGAAAGCGAGAAAACACAGATGTACATTTGTTCTACTATTTTGACAAAAAATAAAGAGAAATAAAAACGTCTGCAGTTAAAGCGTGACTACGTCGATAAACAAAAAGACTGTAGTTAATTTTTGCTAAACTTGTAAATTATTACAGCAAACATTTTGCACTTAGTTAGACAAAGCTTTTTTACCATTGTATATTTCTAGATGAATTAATAGGTTTTATACGCCTATATGCTTTATAGTCTAAATATTGTTTTTGAAGTTAAGAGATTTGTTAATGATCATTAATTCTTGAAAATATAAAAAAATACACTACAAAAATAAATGAAACAAACTATAGTTTAATTTAATCTATCGATAATCATTGTCAAATATTGTTATAAGAATCATTTAAAAACAGTTATTGATATCAAATACTTGAATTGATGTTTAATTGTTTGAATCATTCATTCTTATTCTATGAAAGATGATTGAAAGTTCGTCTGGAGTAATTGATTTAAATATTAGCATGCCTAATAATGTGCATTTCAAGTCATCAATTCATACTGTACTATTTTGTAATTTTAAAGTATACAGCACTTTCATAATATATCATGTTTCAGATCTTATAATTATATGAAATGAAAAATAAATTATTTTGCACTAATTTGCCTTTTTGATTTAGTTATTTAGTAATTATCAACTTACCAGGTGGTATTACTTTTTAATATAACTTCTATGATCCATTTATCACCAACGACTCTCTGCAAGGTATTCAATACGTTCAAAACTTGTTTCTTTTCATGTAGAGTGTTTTTTTTCTTTTTCTTTACTGGTTCACCTGTACTACTGTACATCTACAAAAGTATTATAATACAAATTACTTGAAAAATAGAAAAACATATTTTGAGTTTTCTTATATCTTACTTCATCTTCAGAATCTGTGTCTGGATCTTCTCTATAAGCAGACTGTGATGTCAAATGTTTTATAATACTGCTGGTTACATCTTCAATGGTAGAAATATTGTTTCTAGCTACATCGATTTGCTCAACAGCAGAATTCAACTGTTTTAGTAGATGTTCCTCCACTGGATTATTTTTTTCAGGTGGTTTTTTTACATCTGTCATGGGTTCACCATCCATAGGAGAATCCAATTTTGTATTATTTTGAAGTTTAACCTCCAAGATCTCAAGATCATCATCTAGGATAGAATCGAAATCCATTGTAATAGCTACTATAAATATGAACAAAATACTGCACTTTTTAAAGTGATACACATCACAGCTGTAAATAAACCGCCCGACCTAACTTTTGATAATCATCTGTTGCTTGTGTGTATGCCAAATGCCAATGTTTTGCTACTGCTAGAGTGTGCAGGACTCGACAGGCACTGAACCAATCGCAAAAGCGTATTTCCGAAATTGCGTCAATCTCGACGCGCCGAGACGAGATTCGCATGGCTCGAGCGCGCCAAACTCGTAAATGTGTCATTTACGCATTCTGCCGGCAAATTGAGACTTTTATATTATGAAAATTAAAAAATGTTAGGATTATTTAGAATGTTAATGAACTTGTTTCCTCTTTAAATAAATTAGCGATAATATCGCGAAAGATTTACCAATGCAGGGCCATTTTTTCAAAAAGCCGCTATATATAAATCTCACAAAATGTATGTTTACACTGATAGGTTATAATTGTCGCACTAGCTGGGAATCGGTTGCACGTCCGCGACAGCATAAAAACATCCGTCAAGGATGTGAATCAAACTCATAATCGTTAAAAATCTTTGGGCAAATTACAAAATCAATCGAGTGAACATGATCGCCAAGGACGTCAAATAATCATCAGCGGTGTGTCTAAAAATTACTAGTGCATATCAAAAGTGCCTGGAAGCGTAACGAAATTTTAACCGTGGTATCGCAATAAAAAAATTCCAAGTACGTAGTACGATACATTCGATCGACTCGAAACGTCAAAATAATGATAAATGTCGATCCGTCCTCGTAGAAATATGTCACGATTGCGCAAGGGCTACGTCAAGCCCAAATCGAACCTCAAGCCCTACGGCTTCTGCTGCACCGCCTACGACTCCAGGCTGATGAAGCATCAGAGGCCGGGCTCGCAGGAGTCGAGCCTCGGCTCGTTGCACGAGTGTCCGGCGCTGCGCATCAGACACTACGAGTACGAGAAACGGCCGGATCGTCGGGGGGCGGCCAGGTCGAGCTCGGTGGCCATGCTGAAGCTGAGCACGTCGGGCACCGGATCCGCGATGGAGCCCGGCCAGCAGCAGCAGATGGTCAAGGACGCGACCGAGAGCGAGCTCGAGTTCGTGCGCGACATCGAGAGGCGCCGAGCGCAGATGGAGCACGAGCGCAGGATGGACCGCTGGGCCGAGCTCGGCCGACTGCGAGTGCTGAGGAGGCGAGCGAGGCAGAGGCAGGTGCCGAAGCATCCGTATCCGCGCTGGTACACCGAGTTCTCGCTGGATCAGCTGGGCCGACTGCACGAGTTCGAGGACGCCATGTTCAAGGACAAGGAGGAGAAGAAGACCTTCCGCACGATCAACAGCCTGCTGAGCATGGGCATGCTCGACAGCAACGTGGGCAGGGACAAGGTCAACGAGAGGGTCGTGCACTGGCTGGTGCAGAGCTACAGCAAGAAGCCGGTCAAGTTCTTGCGCGAGCTCTACAGGGCCGTGACCGGCTCCGATTTCGTCTACGAGGATTACAGTACGCGCTTACACCAGCTACGAATTCGTTGACTCGTTATTTTACGATGATTTTTGTTTGCCACCATCAGAGGACGTCTATCCGTGCAACGAGCGCATCATACTGTCGGGCATCGCGTTCCTCGAGCTGCCGAATCTCTGCGAGAGGCTGCACCAGCGAATGCCGCCACCGCCAACGGTCAAGCTACCGCGTCCACGTAATTTACGCCCCAAATTAATCGCCTTTCCACGTGACGCCAAGCTTTCATGCGGGCAATTTTCATTTTGTGCAATACAGCTGAGCTGCCGAGGCTGAAGCTGCCGCGCAAGAGGACGAATCCGCTGCTGGAGAAGCCGGTGCTGCCCGTGGACTGGCGCAACTACGAGCGCCTCTGGTTCGCCTGGCGCAAGAGGTGCCAGGCGTTGGTTCGGCCGGCGGTGCTGCTGCGCGAGAAGGCCATGAACGAGAAGCGAGAGAGCAGACTGAGCCAGTATCGCCAGAGCGTCGAGCAGTACCGGAGAAGCACCACCACCGGGGCCCAGTCGACCGACCCGCTGCTCAAGGTCAAGGTCGAGGTGAAGCAAGAACCGATCACGCCTCCGCCGTCGCCACCGCCGCCACCAGCGGTGAAAAGGGAACCCAGCCAGCTCGATCTGATACGAGTCAAGAGCGAAAAAATCAAATCCGAAAAAGACGCGACGGTCGTGGCTGCTCTGGAAGAGATACCCTATCAGCCGCGCGGTAAGGACAGCTTCGTATGTAGAGGTGTTTTTTTCTGACCCCGCGTAGCTTAATATACTCGTCGTCGTCGTCGTCGTCGAATGAACAGGCAACTGGATGAAGCCCAAGAAGGAGCTGACGGACGCGGAATTCTTCGACGAACTGAAGCTCGAGCAGCCGCAGCGCTGCTATCCCAAGGGTCGCGAGAATCTCTCCTACAAGCTGCAGCACTTTCTGCTGGACGCCGAGGCGGACTTCTTCAAGATGACCCAGGAGGCCAACAAGCTCACCAGCCAGGTCGGCCAGATCGTCCAGGACATCTACGAGAGCGGCCGGGGGTGCGACTCCTGCTGTCCGTGCAGGCAGGCCAGGCGCACCAATCTCAAGTATCACGCGACCAAGCAGCCCTTCACCCAAGTCCAGGACACCATGGGCGACGATAGAAAAATGACGTAAAGTTTTAGCATTATTACGAACGCGCGACGTTTACTGAATTTTTTTAATTCTAACGGTTTCAACTTGCTGTTTTTTTTTTTTTTTTTTCAGTAAAATCGTCGGGGACATAACGATGCTGACACCGGCGTCGAGCATGTCGTCCAAGTGCCAGCTGATCCGCGTGCCGTCCAAGGACGAGATGTTCAAGCAGAGCCTGGTCGACGGCAACGTGACGATCGACGGCAAGAATTATCCCCAGATAACCGACGTGACCGAGAACGAGATTCACGTTCCCGCGAGGACACTCGTGCCGGATCCGGCCTACAAGGACGTGAAAAACGTCCCGCCCTGCGGCTGCGGTGCAGGCCAGCGCGACGACGACTTCATGATCGGCCTGCTGAAGAAAGACAAAGACAAGGACAAGTGCTACGCGCAAAAGTACAGGCCCGAGGAGACGAGCTGTTGCAAGGAGCAACCCATTAAAAAGGAGCCAAGTCGAAGGTCGACGGCGCCCGAAGAGTCGAAGAGCGTCGACGATCGCGAGGAGGCCGAGGCTTACGAGGATCAAGACTGGATCGACGTGGACGAGGAGGAGCAAGTGATCGAGCAAGTCGAGGAGGAGAGAAAGTCCAGACCCGTGTGTCAGTCGTGTCAGAGGACCCTGAAAAAGTCGATCTGCGCCGGTCGTGGCTCGAGAGTCGCCAACAAGTGCTCCTGCAACAGCCTGTCGGAATTCCTGCAGATGGACCTGAGAAAGGAGTGCTGCAAGAAGGGCCGCGACAAAGACTCGGCCAGGGAATCGTCGCGCAGAGCCTCCTCGGCCGTGTCCGGCAAGCCTCGGAAATCGAAGCTGGACCCGAAAGCGGAGTCGCGTCAGAGCGCGAGATTCATGCGCGCCATGTCCAAGCGACTGACCGTGGACTCGGTGAAGCGCGAGCCGTGCGACGAGCGCGAGCAGGAGGAGGCGCGCAGGCAGAGCCGACCTTGCCCCGAGCCCAAACCCATTCCCGAGGGTGGGCCCTTCGGCTGCAAGACCGAGTCCGAGGAGAAGCTGCCCGTGGCCGAGACCGTGGCCTATCTGGTCGATCCGCCACCGCAAGGCGAGCTGCCGGCCCAGGTACCGGTGAGGAAAGGCGGCAAGCCCTGCGAGTGTCGGGAGAATCGCAACAAGAGGCCGGTGAGGCTGTGCAATTTCGGTGACCCGGTTCCGATCAAGGATGAGCCCGAGGAGGGCAAGGACGAGCAAACCGTGAGAATAGTCGAGGAATTGAGGATGGTGACGCCGTCGCCGAGCATCAGGCGAGACAACGAGTACATTCCCGAGTACGAGCTCGCTGATCCCGTTCGCCGCTGCGCGTGCGGTGGTCCCGACGATATACCGCCAGAGATCGAGCTGAAGGACGGCAAGAAAATCTGCCAAGATCTGAAAGACGACAAGCCGTGGAAAGAGCAGCCGCCGGTCGACTCGCTGACGATCCCGTTGAAGCCCGCGGGCCCGAGGCTGAAAGTCGTGAGGCCCGTCTGCGAGTGCAGATACGAGCGCAAAGTCGTGAAGCATCGCGAGGAGACGGCCAAACTCGAGGAGCTCAAGCGCAGACCGAAGAATCCCGTGTCGATGATCGAGGACGTCGCGCCTCTGGGCTGCTGCACGGCCATCAAGGGCATCGCCATGATGACGCCTCTGCCGACCCCCGACCAGAGCGGCGACTATCTCAATTATCCAAGGTTCCCGATCAAGATACACGAGGTCTCGAATTTCCTCAGCAAGAAGGCCTACGCCAGGTCGGATCTGGCCAGGTGCCACTCGTTCAACAAGAAGCTCGAGGCGCGTTGCGCCGAGATGAGCAAAACCTCGCTCGAGAAGGAGATCGAGTTCGTGGAGAAAGTCAAGCTCGAGGAAGAGCGAGACGAAGCGGACTGCGAGTGTCGCGAGAGAGGCGGCAAAGACGACACCCTGTCGCAGTTCAGTCGAGCCACGTCGAGAAGGCGCAAGAGCGAGTACTACGATTCGTTGGAGGAGCGGATGCTCGAGTCGATGCAGGTCGCTGTGAAATGCCGTTGTATTTTTTTTGTCTTGAAATTTTCAATGTATTATTTTTGTTTGTTTTTTTTATGACAGAACGAGATCAATCGTATGAGCCAAGAGAACGAATTCGTGTCGGTAAAGCTGCCGGAGTACAACAAAATGCCGCAGATGCTCTACTGGATATCCTACCGTGCCAAGGGCATGAAAGTGTCGACTGGGGAGAGAAGTAATTGATAGAAAAAATCATGTCTTCCAAACTTTGCATCAATTCCTTTTTCCATCCAACTCGTTCGCGTTCTTTTGTTCCACAGAGAGAATCTTGAAGATGACTCTGAAAAGTTGGAAGAAGCAGGCGCGTAAGATCAATCCGATGATCGACGTCGACGAGTTCGAACTCACCAAGGCCGAGAGGAAGCGTCTGAACTTCGATCACGCTGAGTACTGGAAGCGAAGGGTGAGTCTATAATATTATATCAACGAATCATAGTTGAAATTCATTGACTGTCGTGCGCGTAGATCACGAGGAAAAAGGCAAAATTCTACAAGGAGTTGCGAGACGCCGTGGTGAACTTCGGTCGCAACATCTGGCCCACAATGCAGTTCGGCAAGTTCCCGGACATTCTGTTCAAGCAGGCTTACTTCACGTACTTCCCGACTTTGGAGAAAGGATGCCATGTGTTCAAACAATTGTAACAAATGTAATGACAACGACAACAAAAACGGACATAAATAATTTAATTACGGTATTTTATTAAAATTTCTTCACGACTCCGTGACATGTGTGTGTACAATTTGAACTCGCTTCGATGTAACGTAAAATTCCATTGAATTTTGTGCAAAAACTTTTTAAAACGTGTAAATAATGGTACATTTAGCTTAACTTACGTTTAAGTCACTATGAATTTCAATAAACAGCAAACAATCTTTCTATCATTTTTATTTTATACTCTCTATTTTATTCTCTTTGTAATATTATGCTAATTTCTTTTAAAGATATAAGTACTATATGAATGCAAAATTATTTGATTTGTAATGATCTACATTGAAAAATTAATACACTTTCGAATTGGCTACGGAGATTTCGTCCACATTATGTAAACTTGTTACACTAGAATCGGCAGTGTTCCGAGCACGAATGAGAAGCAGTTACATTTAATTTTATACGTCTTTTGGAATGATAAAGTAATTAAAAAATCAATTTACTTCATATAATAGACTTAAAATTATCGTAATATGATTGTGAAATGGAAGAATCATTCTGTTTGGCAAAAATCGTATGAAATTATCATTATCTGTATTAGTTACAGAAATTAGAAAATGGAAAATCAGATGTTTATCTGTGATTCCATATCTGTTTTTTTTCAGTTATTGTGATTGTTGAGTACTTTCAAAAAGACAGTATAAACTTCAAGTTCATTTCGAAAAAATAAAGATAAATTGAAACGGAGTTTTTTTGACTTTACCATAGATAATAAACTCCCTGTACAAGAATATATTGTATGACAATCGATGGCGCACTATATACAATGACTTTTTTCTACAAAAACTGCTCTAAATAATTTTTTACACGTACAATAAAGTTGTCGGGAAAACGCGCCGCGTTTCTCCGAAAATGCATTGACCAAGAATTACTTTTTTTCTTAACATTATCACAATGCAACAATCTATTCAAATCAAATGTACAAAATCATCGTACAGTGAAATCGTGGTTAAAAAAAATTAATTTTAAATTTGTACGCAAGGCAGAATGGAATTATTCACTGCTGCAAAATCACATTCAGTGTTCTAAACATAATACAATCTTATGTCTACCGTAAAAAATGAAGAATATTTACAAATAAAGCTTAAAAAAATAATTAATTGATTAATCAGTCGCTACACTTATGCTAAGTAATGTCATGGGCGCATCATTACAAGATAAAAATACTGAAACTCTCGTATAAGTGCTAATAATAACCACGAAATCACCTCTGCGAGACATTATAAAGAGATTTGCGCAGTACAATAAATATATAATATGTATAAATTCAACGCGTTGACGACAGGAAAGAAAATCAGGGCGACGTGAGATCTTGAAGCTTACTGAGAATGTGATCGAGCTCTTGGCGGAACTGGCAGAGCTGCTGCGACTGGCCTTTATCGCTGTGATTCATCTGATGAGGCTTGCAGGCGTTATCTTGATTGCGCGAGCGCAGCAGATCGCGCACGAGCTTTTGCAGGCTCATCTCGCGCGTCTCGTGACGCTGCTGGAGTATCGAGATCTTTTCCTGGAGTAGTTGCAGTTGCTGCGTGCTCTGTAATTTAACGGGCGTCAAAAATTTAATTTACAATTTGAACGATAGCAGCAACGATCTCCGAAACTAACCGGTGTGGAGAGATATTTAATCTTGTCATTGAGTACTCGATTTTTGCCTTCTAGGTGATCTCTCTCAGCTTTGAGTATAATGCACTGCTCCTTGTAATCCTGCAACTTGTCGATTTGTTGCTTCATGTGCTGTATCATGGAAATTTGCGAATTCACTTGCGCCTGAATATAAGAAATCGTTTCAAATAAAACTGATAGAATCGTTGTCAAATAAAACGATTGATTCTCGACTCACCTGCAACTTGAGAGATCTGGAATTCTCATCGGACTTGATGCTGTACTCCTTGACAATCATCGCTATCTCCTTCTCGTGCTCCTCCTGCAGCAGATTGAGATCTTGCAGCCTCTTGTTCTTCAACGCGATGAAGTCCTTGTTCAGCCGGCACAGCTCGTCCTTGAGCACCTCGTTTTCGCTGAGCAACTTTTTGAATCTGACCACGTCGCCGTGCGGGCCACCGTTGTTGTCCGTGGCCTCGCAGAGCTTGTGCAGCGACGAGGACATCTTCTTCTCGCCGGTGCCGCCGTTTTGATAGAAATTGGAATTGTTATCGTTGGCGTCGGCGTGGATGGTCGTCTTGGAGCTCGGCAACTTCGAGTCCGACGACGTCATGACCTTGTTGTTGGTGCTCTTAGCCTCGGCGTTGCGCTTGTCGTTGAGCAGTTTCTCGCGCTCCTTCTGCAGCTTGCGATTGGTCTTCTGCAGTTCCTGATGGTCCTTGGACAGTTTCGTCATAGCCTTCTCCTTTTGGGCGAGCTCGAGCTTGAGGCCGCGAATCGTCGCGAGCAGGTGAGTGTCCTCCTTGATGTTCTGCGACTTGGGTCCGGCTCGGTTGACGTCCCTCCTCTCGGCGAGATTCGGCTCCGAGTTCCTGTGCTCGATCAGTCGCTGCAAAGTCTGAGTGCTCGCGTTCTCGTACGTCGGTTTCTTCGGCTCGGTAGGCGTTGTCGCCGCCGTCGTGGCTTTTTGCAGCCTCGACTCGAGCTCCGACACCTGATGCGAGTATCTGTTCTTCATGTCGCTGAACGAGCGCTGGATCTCGCCTAGCTTCGCCTCGGCCGTCTCCTCGCGCGCCTTGATCTCCGACTCGAGGAAGGCTATTCTGTCCTCGAGCAGCCGGACCTTCTCGCCGCCGAGCTTCTCGTGCTCGGCGTTGGCCGTGAGTATGAGGGCCGACACCGAGTCCGGATTCTTGCGCTTGAGTATGCGCTCCATCTCGCGCACCTGCCGATTCAGGTCCATGATGTTCTTGTTGTCGAGTATCACCTGGTCCTTGAGCTTCTGCGTGAGCTGCTTCTCGCGCTCGCAGTTGTTCTTGGCGCTCTGCAGCTTCTCCTGGTAATAAGTACACTTGGTTCTCAGCTCGAGGATCTCCTTCTCCAGCGGGTCGGCGCTCTCCTGGAAGCGCTCGAACTCGGCGCGCACGTTCTTCAGCTGCTCGGTCTTGATGTTCAGCTCGACCTTCAGGTCCTCCAGCTGCTTCCTCAGGTCGTGCTCGTGATTCGTCATGGCCTGCAGCCGGTCGGTGATGAAGTCGTTCTTGGCGCGCAGCTGGTCCTTGATCATGTCCAGCTCCTCCTGGAGCAGCGAGTTCTGCTGCACCACGTCCTCGTTGTTGAGCACGAAGTCGCCGTACTTGGTCCTGAGCTCGGCCAGCTCCAGGCTCAGCTTCACGTTCTCCTCCTGCAGGTCCTTGAGCTTCTCCGAGAGCTCGTCGTTGCCGAAGCCCTCGATCGAGATGATCTTGGGCTTCTGCGCGGCGGCCTTGAGCTCGGCCTGCAGTCGCTTGGCCTCCTCGATCAGCCGCTTGTTCTCCTTCTCGTACGCGTGTATCACGTTGTCCTGGCGCTCGAGCTCCTTCTGCATGGCCATGAGCTTGGGGTCGTACTTGGCCTTGGCGTCGGCCGTCTTGCGCATCACCTGATTCATCTCCTCGACCTTGGCCTTGAGTATGATGTTCTGCTTCTTGAGCAGGAACATCTCCTGCTCGTGCATCTGCTGGGCGTCCTTGAGCTTGGCCTTGTGCGTCTCGATCTCGGCCTCGAGCTCGCTCTTGAGGTAGCGGAATCGCTGGCGCTCCTCCTGGTAGAGCTGCTCGAGCGACTCGGCGCCCGGGAGCGCACCACCGAGCCAGTCACCACCGCCCAGTGAATTTCTCCGAGCCACGTCGTCCTGCGCCCGAATCTGGCTGCCTCGAACGTCCAGAGGTATGTCGTTGCGATAGGCCAGAATCGGGTCCTTCCGCTGCTGTCTCGACGGGAATTTCGTCTTGGGCGCCAGTTTGCCGCTCGTCGGTTTCTGATGCAACTGCTGCATCTTCAGTCTAGGCACGACGGGTGGCTGCTTCTTCGGCAGCACCGCGGCCGGGGCCGGTATCGTGCTCTTCTTCATCTCGATCGTCGGCTTGTTGTTGATCGACCTCATGTTCTCCATCGAGGTGCTGCGCGGCGCCGCGCCGGTCGCCTTGGAAAACTGATCGTAACTCCTGGACTTGTTGATGTACGTTTGATTGAGCATTCTCTCTTCGGTGGCGCTCATCACTCGCACCGTCTTTCCGTGCTCTCCGCTCGTTGTCGTCGTTGTCGTCGTCGTTGTCGTCGACTTTTTCGACTCTTTCAAGCTCTCCTGGAGACAGGCAAAGTCCTGCGAGTCCAGGTACTGGCTGGTGCTCAGATCTATGAGGTCGTGCACGTTCGTCACGTTTTGGTGATCGCCCAAAACGCCCATCTGCTTGATGACGTCGAGGGCTTTGAAATTTTTAAAGCTAAAGTCCTCGCTCTCCTCGGCTTTCGGCGTTGTCTTCTTGTCCTCGGCTTCTTTCTTCGTCGATTTTTCCGCCAAGAGCTTAGGAATGTCGTCGGCGAACAGCTCCAATCGTGGCGTGAGACCGACCGTGTACAGCTCGTTCTTGTCGTTGATAATTTTTTTCGTCTCCACGCACTTGCTGTTTTTCCGGGACGATCTGCCGCTGGAGGATCTGCTGGATTCGTGCCTCGGGCTCTCCTCCGGCAAATTATCCAATCTGAGAGTGCCAAGGGACATGGACTGGCGCATCGGTGAATTGGTAGCTGCGTCACGTGTCTTCTTTGGCTCGGTCGTTAATTTATTTTGGACGGTCTTCTCTTTCAAAGGATCGAATTGATCTAGAAGCGTTAGCGAGCTAGTTTTCGATATCGTCTCAGCTTCTTTATGGCTCTGTTCTTGCAAGAGTTTCAGAAAATGAGTGAAATCCTCTTGATCGAGACTCGAGCTGCGCGACGACAATTGCTCGGCACTTTCTTTGGTTTTTTCAATGAGTGCTTGAAAGAAATCTTTGTCCACGTCGGTTATTTCCTCTTTGAGACTCTCCTTTTTTTCTTTTTCAACTTGCCTCTCTTTTTCTCTTTTTTCTGATTCGGAATGTCGCTCTATAAAATCATCGTGATCAGAACTTGTTACTTCTGTTTTTCGCTCCTCCAATTTTTTCTTCTGAGTATCTATTTTTTGTGCGGAACTGGTGGTATCAAATACTTCTTCAATGGAAGGACTAGAACTCTTTTTATCCGTTTGATCACTGTTCTCCTTCACTTGATCTTCTATCATTTTGAAAATATTTACCTCTAACTGTCTAACTTTTTTCAAATCTTCTGAGGAAGTATCGTTTGCATCAGGAACTTTGGTTTCAGACATAAATATATCCTTTAATTTGTTATTGCCATTCTGCTGCACTAATTTTTCTGCTTCTTCCAATAACTCTTTGACAGATTCTTCTTCAATAGACATTATTTCATCTATCGTTTTAGCTGTTTTTACTGGATCTGCAATTGGACTTGTCATTCCAGCTATTTTATTCATTTCTTCAATTATACTTCCAATATCTTCATCTGTCGCATCTAAATAAAAATATTTATCAATAGTGCTTTAAAATAAAATTCTAACATTACAATGAAAATACTCACTTCCAGCATCAGATTGATATTTGTCAAAAGCGATAGAGGCTAGTACATCTTGCAAAGTATCATCTTTTTTAGCTGCCTCTACCTCATCTTTCTGCAAATAATCCAGAAAAATTAAACCAATTTACAATGATATTTTTAATATTGCACTTACTTTGCACATGTTTTCCTTTTTAATGAACTCTTGTACGGATGAGGTATCTTCAAGTTGTAAAAGTGGAGTATCTGGTTCTTTGTTTGACTCATTCTTCTGTTCATTTGGTTCTTGTTCAGTTTTGGGTTTTCTCAACCACCATTGATCTTTTTTCTGAGGTGAATGTTGAGGCGGTGGCTCTGCCTCTTTTTCAAGCTTGGTTTTAAGTTTTTCTTTGACATGTACTGAATTATCTCTGATACTAATGCTGACTGATGAGCCCAAAATATCATCTTCAGTTGAAATAGTCTAATGTTTTGAAAAGATAAAATTATCAATATGAAATTTTTTTTCAGAAAATAAATCATTATTCTGTTGTGATTCAATCATAAAAATAAATAATCAAGAAAATGAAATTCATGATGCTATTATAAAACACTCATAATTAAATCAATAGCAAAATGTCATGAACTATCGTTTGAAAACATATATATACACACTCACATCATCGAATTGCGAGGGATTTTGTGCATCACTCGACATGTTAGCAGTTTCGAAAGTATGTTTGACTAATTTTTACACCAACAAATTATAGATATACATCTCTGCACCGTATAATTATCCAAGCGCATCGTCGACTCATGTCGCTGATTTTTGACACTCAATATAGCAACTCGCTACACTGGAGAAAATACACAAACACAGCTCGCGTTATCTGCTACACGAAAAAGGGAGTGAGTTTGCGTCGCCTTTGGTTGTTCTGCAGATTGACGCGCGCGCATTTCGCGCCAATACTTGAAACTTCGGAGCGTCACGATTGAAATCGTTGAAAAATTTGTTCAAACAATATTTAAAAACGTGGTTGCTGTTTTCGCTGTAACACGCGAATGCATTAGGATGTATTTGACAGATGATAAAGTTTGGTTATTTCGAATGTTTGTATGCTTTATGTTGACCGGGTCACGTGATCCCGCATACAGATGAGTCATCCACCCAAACGTAACGGACGCTTCAACTTCCAAGGGTATAAAACATGTAAATTCATATGGCATAGATACAATTAAGTACGCAGGGAAAGGAAATCGATAATAGAAGAAGCAAAGTCATGTTTCCTATTTTATTGAATAATAATAACATGCAGCAGCTGGTATAAAAAAAGTTGATACAAAAGACTAATAGAAATCTTGATTCTTCGTTGAATGATACAAATAATTATGACTAATTAACTTAAGCTTTCAATATTTTTACAAATAAATATACAATTATCAAAGATTTGAAAAAAATGTTGAGTGTAAATGCATGCTTAATTTTCTATGATTCAAGTGTTATAAACATGTTTTTAAATACAATTTGTCGCGGGACAACAATTCATAATTATAAGGAGTAATAAAGAAACTTCGATAATAGTTGGTAGTAATTGATTTGAGCGATGATTTAAATATAAAAAATTCATTTGCTATCAACACCAATATAAGTATGCAACTTGATAACCAACATAACACGGAAATTCGACGTTAACACTAATATATAGGAATATTTTTCAAAAATGCACGAATGCAATGTTATTTACACAGTCTTACGCACGAAACTTATTCATCACAAAAATGATCTACTTTAAATGAGAAAACAATTCTCGATTTTTTTTATTTATAAAGCTCTTGATCTTTTCATCTTAAATTTATCCTCTCCTCAGCTTCCTGTAAAATATTAATTCAGTTATAGATTATGATTGATTATGAAAAGCTTGTAAAGTAACATACTGACTTGATTAAACTAGGTTCATGTAAATTTGTTGGGGCTTTCTTACGTCTCGGTCTTGTCGAAAGAGGTCTATTGCTTGCCACACTACTTTCTGAATCACTCGACTGTTCAGCTGGTTGCAATAAAGAACTTCGGCTGCAAAAATACACGAATGTCGTAATAATTATTTCTCAAATCAAGGTATATTGACCAATAATATGTTAATTTAAACTTACTACGAAGCTACGCTCGAGCTTGAAGAAGTTCTGACAGTTTCTTGCAATCGCGAGCTCGATCGGCGAACGCTGCTATCATTTTCGTTGTTTTCATTTTGGACCGAATCTTTCTTTTTATTTTCCTTATCTTTTGCTTTTGTTTTGCGCTGACGCGTTTTTTTCTCTGGTTGGTCAGACCATTCATCATCGCTTACCGCTTTCTTTTTTACTGCTTTTCTACGTTTTGGATTCTGCAAAAAAGCGATCAGCCATGGTAGTAAAAACCAGATATATTTTAAAAGATCAATAAAATCTTACCTCTTTGGATTTGCTCACATCGGGAGTTTTGATAATTTGTGTTTGATTGGCAGTGTAATCGAGCATTTCTGTCATACGTGGTAATTCGATTCTTGATCTGCTTAAACGTTCAGTCGTCAGTTCACTAAATCGTTTATTCTGGGCTCTTTGATCTTGGCACCTAACTGTTGTCGTTGACGACTCCTCATGTTGCCATTGACGAGGCACTCTCTGCGTCGACATGCGACTCATTGTCAAGGTGTCGGTGTCCTCCGCAGCTGGACGGCCTGGCCTCTCGGTCAATTGAATGGTGGCAGTTGGTTCGTCGTTATCCTGCTGAGCCATCAATGCTGGCCCAGCGTTTGTTCTGCCGTTCATTTTCATCAGAGGCTTTAGTGGCGTCAATTGCAGCAATTCATTGACATCGAATTGCAAACGTTCGGGCCGCTCGTCGAGATTTGATTGCGCTGCGAATCGCGGCTTCAGTTGGTTTCTCATATTTATCATTAACGTCTCGTCATCGTCGTCGTCGTCGTCATCTTGATAAGCATTATTATTAGGAGCTTTTTCGGATCCATAACGTCTTGACGATGTTCGCGATGAAGGCCCACGACGCTCCGTTACGAAATGAACCATTCGACGATCCGCGTAATCTTCATCATCGTCATCATCACCTTCATTTTGATCACTCTCGTCATCATGATCATCATCCGTATCATCGTTGTCATTAGCTGAAGGGTAACTGAATATTGAAGGAGAGTTGTATTATTATTAATTGTTTTTCATTTTTAATCAAAAAGAAAAAGAATAACAGAAAGTACTTTATTAAATGAAAATAAAAATACTTAAAACTTACGTAGAAGTATCTAAAACAGTACCAAGCGGCGTTGGAGAAGATAAGGACGCATTCAAACTATCTCGGACAGGATTTCTCCTTCCAAAAGCTTTTGGCAAATCAGGCACGCGGAATAAACTGCTCCGCCGAGCGCTATTCGTTGAACAAGGGAAAGTTGAAACAGGTGAAGTAGCACCATTTCGATCCTCTACGGTCTTGTTATGATCTGGAGGTGGTCTATTTTCTTGATCTTCATCGACGTCGATGTCATTTTGTGTTGAATCAAACATCCAGCTTGAACCTTCCATTGGATCAATTAAATGTGATTCCATGAGAGGCTGATTAGATTTTCGAATAAGTGATTGATGAATTTCTGCTTGGGTTGATATTGTATTGGAGGATAAATTTAAGCTATTCTCATTGCCAGATTCAGAAGATGAGTCTTGTGATTCTTGGGTTTCAGGAATAATAACACGATTTTCGTCTAAATAATCGGAGTTAGCGTCATTTTGAGAAACATCTTGACTTGAATGATTAGATTCACTAAATCTACGTGAAATATCTGCAAACTAGTGTATCACTTTATAATTTAAATTATACTTAATAATTATTAGCAAAATAAAATTTTATAAAAAGCTTACCAAATTTGCGCTAATAGTAGTTTGATTGTTTGATAAAAATCTTGAAATGTCTTGTAAGTGTACTTTAGGACTTTTTATTTCAGGGTAATCAGATTGACGCTTTGACAATGACAACCGTCCAGACAGTCTACTAGATTTTCGCTTTGAATATCTTCCACCACTTGATAATCTATTAGTAGATAATCTACTTGTTCTTCTATTGTTAATCAATCCTTCTTCTTCTTCTGAAATTTTAATTGAAAAAAAAAAAAAACATTATTGAACAAATTATTAAAATTAAATTTTCAAAAGCTTTATTTACCTTGATTTCTATTCAAAGCTAATGGAAGTATTTCAGATCTTGAGTGCCTATTTTCTGGAGGACTTCCATCAGGTGTACTTGGCCTTTCTTCAATTAAACTAAGATTTGAAATAGGTGGACGTGGCATGTGAACTCTACTTAAATTTATAGTAGGTTTTGTTATTGTATGACCACTGACCATAGGTTTAACAACACCTTTGGCTGGAGATTTCATAGATAATCTTTTAACAGACTCTCTTCCTAAAAAATGTTCAAATTCATAGTTTATTTATTAACACATTAATGTTAGTAGAAATATTAGAAAATTTAACTTACTACACGGAGAACTAGTTCTGCGGCTATGATTAACATAATTTTGATTGGATAAAATTTCATTACAGCTACTTATCGTATTGCTTAGAAAACCAGACATTGTAACGATTGTCTGCATCATTTCCTTAGCATTAGTCAAGATATTGTGAAGCAACGTCTAAAAATTCATAAAAAGAACATTAAAGTATTGAATTGAGCAAAATGTAGAAAATAAGCTTAAGACTGTAACTCACATCACGAGTGCGACAAGCAAGATTTAAGTCTTGTATTTCAGCCATTAATTCTGTGTTTTTTGAAAACAACAATTGGCTTTCTTGTTTTTCTTGATTAAGTGCGGTGGCCAGCAAATGATTATTAGCTTTCATCTTTTGATACACTAGAGAAAAGAAAAACAGTTAAGTCTCACAAACGTCAAAATACAGCGGCATAAAGCATAATAAAGTAACGTCAATTTTTAGGAATATTTGTAGTACTCACAAGGCATGGGTGCCTTTTTCTTCTGCGGCTTTATTCTTTGAGGTCTTTTCGTGAGCACCGTCGGCCTCTTGACCTTCTTATTTTTCGGCACTTTAGCCATTTTAAACAATTACCTTTGTTCACGCACATACGCAAAATTACAAAAAATCCGCTGAACGCCAGACGCACTGTCGGCTTCTTCGATTTCTGGTTTTTGCTTTCAAGGGTTAGGGTCGCCAGCAATATAACCCATAACAGAGAGATAGAGAGCGCGAATAAATCCTGAAGAATTGGCGCTCAGATTGTGCGAACGCGACGCACCACGCAGCAAAATTTGCGACCCCCCTCCCCCCGTACTTTACCCTCTCTCAAGCTTTTTGCACTTGTGAATGGCGAATTTGCGAATTCGAAATTGGCGAATTGAAACGTTCACGAGCGCAAGCGCACTCGTCACTTTCTCTTTTTCCGCGAACCGCGACTGATTTTGCAGTAATGTACGTAATGTAGGACATAAAAAGTATAACTGGATATTTTCCACGAATCGTTCGATGAACGAAAATTCGCTTCATCGCGAATAGTTTTGCTCCATTTATGGCTCGGACTCGATTCAATTAAACCGGGGCGTTCGTCAACCGCAGACCGACAAGCGGCTCGTAATATGTAAATCAAGTATAATCAATGGATGAAGTATTTAAATTTTCGCTCGCTTCAATGCGGAGCACATTTTCAATCAAAACATTCCTAATTCCTCTGCATCCTGCTTAATCTCCTTCGAAATGATCTGTCAATATTGAATTAATATAGTGGAGTGGAATTATCGGCACAGTGCGGTTATTGCGGTAGCGGCTCCGATGCGATGCGCGCGCGCGATCAATCGTGTGTGTGTGCGTGTGTGTATACATAACAAACTAGACAAAATAAACATCGTAGCAGACGTATTATAATCTGCGCACACGAGTTAACACGGCAGTAGACACGATCCGACCGACGTCGTCACTGGCACACACCGCGACGATTCGAGTTTTTCAACACTCTTAAACGACACAATAAGTGATAAGAAAAATTAAAAAAGCATCATGAACAACTTGCTCAAAATCAACGCCGCTTTGGTAAGTTGAAATTTTAAATTATTAGTGAAGTGTTATTTGTATTTGGAAAACTGACATTTTTGACGTATTCAGGTTAGACCAGCGCTTACGGCCGCGAGAAATATTTCGACAACTGGTGTAATAAGAAGTAAAGATACCAATGTCGGCGAGTCCGAGGACAATGTGCCGCCCTTCATCGAGAAGGGAGAGAGCACCGAGGTCAAACGAGCCAGGTAAACATTATAAACGACATCAAAAGTTTATTTCTATTACTCGTGCCGATCGTTATTCAAATTTTTCTTGTCTTTCTCCTCTGCCAAAGATTACTGTACCAGTCGAGGAAGCGCGGCATGCTGGAGAACGGCCTGGTGCTCAGCACCTTCGCCCATAAGTACCTGAACGGCTTCAACGAGAAACACCTGAGGCAGTACGATCAGCTGATCAACATACCCTCCAACGACTGGGACATTTATTACTGGGCCACCGGGGTGAAACCCGTGCCGCCCCAGTACAATAACGAAGTCATGTCGCTGCTGCAGGAATTCTTGAAGAACGAGCAGCGCGAGGCTCGCATCCGTCAGCCGGACCTTAACTGATCACCGATAAATGAAAATTGATGAATCTTATTTTATATTTATATTACTGTATATAACTTTCGTTGTAAATAGTGTGAATAATTATCATCGTGTTACAGAATCATTGCTTTATTGTACGCAAAAATAAAAATTGTCACGATAATCGTTGACACATTATTATGTGCATAGGTACGCCCCATCCCCACCTCTTTGCCATGCACCCATACACAATCGCCTACATGTCGTACAGTGGCATTGTTGTGTTGAAGTGTAAGTGCCAAGACGTCCGCGCCACAAACCGATACACAAGGAGCGAAACGTCAGTTCGTCTGCTACAGCACCGAGAGACGTCGTATCTTTCTCTCTCTCTCTCTCGCTATACGTTATAACGATCGTAAACACACACTTATATTACACATGCATTGAGTCATTTGGTGCGACGATTAATCGCGGAAAATATGAACGTTAATCAGCGAAGATTGGCGTGCAGAAAAGCGTAAGGAAGCCCCGTACGAGCGGACGAGCTCCATAATTAATTCAAACGACATTGGGTCGCGTCGCCAAGACGAGATGGCTGAGTCGTCCAACGGGCCGATTCTTCACGTTATCGTCGTCGGATTTCATCACAAGAAAGGATGCCAGGTAAAACGAGACGATAAGCGCGCTCGACTTTGTTCTCGATTTTTTTTGAGACGCTACTTCCGATACGTAAATACAAAAGGTAAAATATAAAATGTTCAATTGGAATGTGCATAAAGGTTAGAACGCAAAGGTACGTGCATAGCGTTTAGCAATGGACCACCTGTTTTGCTTGCAAATTCGTCTCGATAATTTTTGTCTTTAGCGAAATTTTGATAAGGTTATAAGAATAAAAGCGCATTACTCACTCGTCTTTTCAAAATGCTTTTGAGCATTGATAGAATGAATTATAAAAACGATGACTCATAGATAAAAAAAATGACGTATTTATCTATGTTCTTTATATTTCAGGTGGAATATTCATTCCCTCCTTTAGTTCCTGATGCACCAAATGAATGTCCAATTGGATGGAAGTACTTGCCAACCCTTGCTTTACCAGATGGGTCGCACAACTATGATGAAGATACAGTATATTTTCATCTACCCAGTCTTAGCGATCCCAATCGTACAATATATGGAGTTTCTTGTTTTAAACAAATTCCTGTAGAGGTAACAGTAAACATAAAGTATTGAATAAAGGAGCTTAATTAACCAATGGTTTTTTTTTAAATTATAGAAATTAGTGAATCGTACATCTGATATAACTAGAGGTACAGTCCAGAAATCTGTTTGTGTACTGAGTACAGCACCTCTGTACGGTCATATACAAGTCAAAATGGCACTGATAACTCATGCTTACTTCGATGAAGGAGATTTTAGTAAAGTATCTTTACTAGAAGAAACATATCATCATTTAAACTCTTGTATGAATGGAGAAAGTCAAATGCCTCCACAAGTTTTTATAGGTAAACTACACAGATTTGTATTAATCATATAAAATTACATGAAATTAATGATAAAATGTACCAAATAGCTAAAGTAACTAAAATTCTTTTTAGGATTATCAGCCAGAGATTTTATTCTTCAATTTCGCCACAAAGCTTTGTTACTCTTCAAACTCATGTTACTAGAGAAAAGAGTAGTGTTTTATCAATCACCAGTACAACCATTATGCTCGGCCATCCTCACACTGTTGTCGCTCTTTCCCGGTATGATTGAAACAGGCCTGCAGCAAGCTGCTTGCGTTAGACCATCCAGGCCAATGTCACCTATACCAAATTTCGACGACACCGACGAGCCTGCATCGAAATTCGAATCATACCTTATGACGAAGTCGTCAAGCTCGGAGAGAATGCAACCGGAGTCCTACGATTTAGACGATAACAGAACCGTTGAGTCGATGGAGGGTAAATCATCATCGTCTCGAATCGAACTCGAGCCAGAGGAAGAAGCCTTCAAAGTCGAGGAGACTCGCGCGGGACAGCGGCAGGATAACGATGCGATTGACGGTACCAGCAGAGATGCGGCTACTTTCGCGCTCGATGCCGAGGCCAAATTAACGAATAACATCACTCAAATAGCTAATATCGACCCTGACCTTTGTGGCATGCCTTTGTGGGTTTTTAATAAGGTACGTTGTCATTCACTCGTTATCGCGTTCTTTATCTTCTTTCTGTGTAATACAGCAGGAGACGATTATTTTTTTACAGGGCTACCTCTGTCTACCATATCTCTCACTGCCGTATCTCGATCTCTTAGGGGACGTGAACGTCAGGGGCTACGTTGTCGGTGCCACTAACGTTCTATTCAAACAGAAAAAAAATCTCATCGACGTTTTGGTCGAGGTAAATCACCATTACGAACAGTTTGATGAAACTCAAGCTAATCTCTTTCCTCGTGTGTCCTCTCACAACAGTCCGAAAGCGCCAGAATAGAGGCCAACGACCCGGAGCTACGTCGCCTGTTGCACTTGACGACCGAGGACTTGCGATTCGCCGACTACATCACGCGCCACGTATCCGAGCCGAAGAAAGACAACTTCTTTGACGGCGTCGGCTGGGAGGGCGGCGACGAGTGGATCAGGACGCAGTTTCGGGTCTACCTGCTCTGCCTGTTGAGGACGGTGCGCCAGGCCGATCCGCGACAGATCGACCATTACAACGCGGCCTTTGTGTCCGCTTGGAAGGAGACGAGCAATTACAAGAAATGGGAGGCTTTGAACAATCAAGAGATCAACAAGGTCGAGCCCGGACATCCGTTTGCTGGACAATTATCGATGCAGGACATGAAATTGAGATTGTCGCAGTGAGTGAGCTTTTTGCGATGCTGTTAAAAAATTGATGGTCTAAGGGGCAAATTATTTTTTATTCGCAGCACCATGCAAACTACAGAAGGTGGAAGAAAATTGAATCAAGCCATGACGTCGACCGGCCGAGCCATGGCTACTACGGGAAAAGCCGTTGGTAAGCTATCATTGCACAACGTTTTGACCAATTCGTTTGTGAAATAGGGTATAGATTTTGTTTCTTCTTTTACCATTAAGGCGGCGCACTGTCCCAAGCGAAAGGTGCCTTTTCCAGTTGGTGGAGTACATTGACGACAGTTCAGCCGGGCGACGGGTTGGCGGCCGCCTCCGCCGAGCAGCAACCCTCTTCGAGGCCCGAGCAACAGGTACCGGACGTGGTGCAACACGCGAAAATTGAACACAGCCGCCTCGAATAGGTATAAAGTGTAACTTTGAACTAACGCGAGCGATTAAAAGTGCCAAGGAAAACCTGGTGCATGGCGGGCTGTCTCTCTGGTCTGGTCGCCAAAAGCTCGATTGTGGTTTTTCCGACTCCATGACGCTTTATTTTTGGACTCCGCACTCTACGAGCGTACGATCGTATGAAAAGCGGATTAAACGAAAAAAAACACAAGCCTTGCCTAGTCCATATCTCAAACACATGTTAGCTTTTAAAAAAAGAGGAAAGGGGATTCATTAAAGACATTAATATACGAGGCATGAAATGCCGATAATTTCAGTCGTTTTCTCTAAAAATCAATGTCCCAGTGAGAGATAAAATTATTATAGATTATATATATTGTGACAATGTCTATGTTGAACAAATTTTAATCTTTTGAAAATCGTGTATTTTGATAAATGTTTAAATAGTACATACATATTATATTAAAAAATATGTAAATATTGAGTAAAAAAAAACAAAATGGAATTTGTCCAATGGTTAGACAATATAGATTACACAGGTCATGTCATATGGTTCGCAGAATTCGCCATGGCACGAGATTTTATTAAATTGTACATAATATAATTTTTTTAGCAATTATAACCGCAGCAGAAAATTATTTTTTTTTATAGCCAAAAAAAGTTAAAGCTCAATGATCTGATATATTATTAACGACTATATATATTATTGAACTTCGTGAAACATTCCGCGAAAACGGACACGTCAATATTTTTTTATAATTTGTATTATTTCTTCCCACACCCGACGCTCGTCATTCATTTCGAGAACAAAAGTGCTTTATCTCTACTAATGACGTGTTCTAATGCACAAGCATGTAATGTACTTGGTCGATGTACGCTATTAAAATGTAAAAACTTTTATGTGATATTTATTTTACTCGGACATTTTACAACATTATAACTCGTTTAGCCTAAGAGAGTATAACGCCGTGGCAGTTTTCTATTTTGCATCGATCCGATGACATTTTTTTCTTGTACATAGTGTTAGAATCGAGAGATTATATGCTACATAATAACACACACACACAGCTTACAAACGGCGATCATTTACTTAAGTAAAAGGAATTAGATTTCTTCGCGATAAGAATTTTGACTTCGTTTCGAATTTAGTACAAAGTCAGTGTATAAGAAGAAAAAAGAATAAATGAAATTTCTCGTTCCCTTGAAATATATAAGCGCCGCTAATTATCCTATCATTAAAACTCATACAATTGCGCGGATTGTACAGACATTATACTACAAATGTACACGCGAGCGCTTTACTATTATTTAGTATAAGGAGAAGCGTCGCTATATGAGTGACGATGAGGACGTGTAAGTACTTTGTAGAGCCTCTATACGAACGATTTCACAAAAATTGTTACATTAAAAAAAAAAAAAAAAAAAAAAAAAAAAAATTATAAATCGATTCGTTGCTTACTTATTTCTCAAAAAATCCAAATGATAATTTATCTCAAAAAATTATTTTATTCGTCAATTATGTTTTTTGAATTTAAAAAAAAAACATTTAAATTATGCATCCTACAGCGGGCATCCGAATTTCCACCAATAAGACGCTCGCTTTAGGGGAAGCATCAACGTCGGTAAGTCGAATGCATAGTGCAACCGAAGGATGGCGACTGCGTGGCGGTAACGGCAAGTGATCGTGACATTGCACTCGCAGCAACGTATACCTAACTCGATGATCACCTCTAAAACGAAGTACACGATAAGTGATAAAATGGTGCATTAATTATTTTCAAGTAGAATATAACGTTCGAACGCAATTCATGCCAACCCACGTATAATTTAAAGATTCAAATTATCGAACTTGCCGAAGACGGTTGAGCGTCCGATTGGCATCCAACAGTTTCCATAAACGCGCGCCACTGCCTAATTGCCGTAATTGATTAAATTTTTACGACGAATTTGGAAATCCAAGGTGATAAGGTGGATCCATTGATTCTCAAACGTCGACGCGCAGCATTATATATTATTTTTACGCGTGTGTAAAATTATTCTTGAAAGCGACCGGCTGCATCGACTTTCTCTCTCTCGTGTATTAGGATTTTCGTTTATCTTTCGTGCTGCGTCGTTCATCTGTTACTTCGCGTCCAAAATGGAGCGAGTAATCGTTAATATATAGATAATATTAAATACATTTTCTCTCGTCGTCGCTGGCTCGTCTACGCGCACATATATAAGCACGTAACGATGTGTAGGTATATATGGATATTCATGCCAGTCTATATAGATCGCGCACCTAGTGGTGGCATATAACGATTGTCAAGGGCACGTGTGTGCCTCGAGCTGCTGCCGCCGCCACCGACCGAGTAGTATCCTTACGAAAGTCCAAGGACGCGGCGCGTTAATCGATGCGTAAAAATATTCATCGTCGTTTATTATATAGCCGCGTGTGTTTCAACTTGTAAGTATAACTGCACGAGCAGCAGAGATTGGAGTTGACAATTTTTCAAACCGCGCCGACTCTCGTCCGTAATACCGCCCATATATATACACACATACGCAATAATAAGGTAGTCGACCGCGGTGGAGCAGCAGCAGTTCATTTTCTTGACCTATATATCGCCTGGCGCGCGCGCTTCGCTCGAATTTTTATATACCTGCGACGATAATCTAGACGTTGTCCACAATCTTTTTTCGAATCATTTTTGCTGTGCTCCGCGAATTATCGATTCGAGTGAACGAAAAAAAGCTCTCGACGTCATCCGCGCTCCAACGCGAGAAAGAGAGAGCATAACACACAGAAAGCGCGTCACACTCGTCAGACGTCAAGTATAATATGGTCGTTTAGATATCACGAAGAGGCGCGCATATTATATTATGTACAAAAGTCGGAAAATGGTCAATTCGAATGTGTGCTGCTCCTCCGTACTACTCTGTTTCGCCTTCTTTTCCGCGGCGCTGCAACGAACTTGACTAAATCCTCTCTCCCTCTTTCTTTCACTCGTCTGTGGTATATACATGTGTGTACTACACCTAATACGACATATATATACGACGCTCTCGGTGCACTAAACGTATATAAGGTATACATTTTTCGTGTGTGTGCCGCGAAACTCTCGGTGTAGTGCAGCTCCGTGTGTGCTGCTGCATTCCCTCTCGCGCGCGGCGTTTAACTATCTACTCTACTACTACGACTACGTGTGCCCCCACCACCGCCGAGTTCCGCGCAAAACCAGCAGCAGCACACGGTCACTACCACAGGCTCGCCGACGCGACCGCCCGTGTCTGTGTCAGTGCCTGTATGTGTTGTGTGTGTAATAAGACGAGAGAGTCGACAACATAGTGGCCCAATATACTCAAGCTCTCTCGTTGCCATTGTAATCGTCGTCTCATCGATATACATCTCCATATTCGGCTCGTTTACATCGTTCCGATAGAGCATCGCCAAGAGAGCGGCTACTTGGTTAACAGTACAATTAACGTATCGACTCGTATTATGATATATTAGATTAACGAAAAATCGCAGCCGATCGCCGAAATTCCGTAGCGCCTGTGTGCCTGCTGCTATTACTACCTACTGCTGCTGTTGCTGCTGCTGCTGCTGCTGCTGCTGCCGTTGCTGCTGCAAGTGCGTGAACATATATATTGTGTAGTTGCATATATAGATATACCTGTATGCCAACGGCTGTGCGTGCGCAAGGAAGGAGTTTGAAGTGTGTCGCGAATTTATACATCATATATACATCGCACGGAAAAAGAAAAACAACGTTGACATATTAAGTGTTTTCTTCATTAAGTGTGCAGTTGATTATAATCTGACAACCAGAATAAACGTATCTTCTGGACTAACGTGACGTCTGCGTGTGTTGTGTATATGTGCGTGCGTGTATATACATATAAAATACGTGTGTGTGTTGTGTCGAATTCGCAGTGTGCTATATGTACACACATGTAAATGATAGCGTGCTATATATTACGAGGCGCGTTGAATCGTCGCTTTTCATCTATGACAACGGCGTCGGACCCTCTCGTTGGACGCAGACAATGAAAACGTCGCTTGGATGAATAATTTTAATTCTTCACCATTATTAATTTGCTGCTGCTGTCGCTCAGCTCTTTACTGCCGTATCCTGCTATACCTGTATAGCGTGCGTTGGTGTTGGTTACCCGCGCGCGTGAAATAACCTCAAAAACATTACGTTTTGCATCTATTCTATCTATATACACATACAACAGGCACACTTGTGTACGACAACGACGATACGACGATTCTTCACACACGAACGAACGCACCCACACAAACAACGCTCGCTCGCACACAGTGGCACGCAAGAGTCGAGCAGTTTTTCCTACATAATAATAGTCTTATCAACTCTACGTGTGCCGATTCGTTATTACTATTGTTTTTTTCCTCGTTGGACCCACGAAGATAGAGAAGCTGTGGCTAATCGCGCGATCGAAAATTCCTGTGCCAGATATCGTTCGAGAATTCGCCACAATGGTCCGGAAAAAGTAAGAAGATTTCTCCGATTTTTCCTCGAAAAATTCAGCTCGGATCCAAAGCTCAGGGTTCGATTTTAATACGCAGAAGCTCATTTTTTTCGTTTTTACTTTTTTTTCTTCTTTTTTTTTTTGTTGTTGAACGACGACGTCGACAGTGATCTGTGTTGCATCGCAGTTGTGCAAGGGAGAGAGTGACTTACGAGCTATTATCAGATGATTTTTTGCATGAAGATAGTTCATTGAGTTATTTTTTGTTATAATACATGCACGGTATCAGTGCAGCAGTGCTTGCAGTTTAAAAGACAAATTCGTGCTTGTGCGTGTGCAGTTGGGATTAAATGATTTGTTCGATTCAATTAGTGCCAATTACAGTTGTCCGATGGATTATCAGGAATGACTGAGAACTGCTGGAGTGCTGGCGGTGGTGAGTATATTGTTTCAATTATTTTTACCTTTATTTATTTTTTCTTTTTTTACTATGGCTTAGTTAAAATCGAGGTAAATATTTTTAAATCAAGTCAATGGTTGAAAGAACCGTTTAGTTCTATGTACCGTGCTAATGTATCGAAAGATTATTTGGAGCTTTAAATCACTGCTCAACTTCGGTCGTTGATTGCTGCATCGCTTGATCAATGATTGATGCATATAGGTGTTCTTTTTTACCCTGTTTACTTCAACCTTCGATAAGTAAAAAGAGCCTTGAAATTAACAATTCCAAATCGATGTGTACGAGTAGAACGTTCATGCATTTTTCCAAGTTGCCTTACGTTATACTTTTCGCCGACACTTACACATACACATACGAACCTGCAATCACGTGTCTAATACAGCGTCGATTTATATCTTCCGAATCTCGATGCGATAAATCCCAATAGTCATAAATATACGCCGTTTCGGATAAAAAAAAAACAACAACCTGTGTAAATAAGGTGTGTATAAAACTCATGCATGAATCATAAAAGTCCGTATCATCGCGTCTTATAAACGAATGCACACACTATTCTTTTTCTCGTCTCTATCTCTCTCTTTCTCTTATACTCGCGAGGTCATCGCAAAAGCACATCAGCCATTATATTATTTGGCCGATTCTATTTATAAAATCTCTGCCTAACCGACGAAGACGAAGAAGAAGAAGTAAGTATATAAAGTATATAAGTAAGAGAGAACGAGGCATGAAGAGGAAAAAGTATTATATACGCGTGACGAGGCGCCCGGTGCCCGTCCGTGCGATATGTCTCATTTGTGCCGTGACTGTCGGCAGCGCAGAGAGAGCTTTACCCTGCCCGATGATGCTGCAGCACCGTGAAACGAGCCGCTAAATGTGCGCCTGCCAATTCGATGTAACAAATTCGTTTCCGAAAAAACACGGCTAACTTTTCTACTGCAACTTTATCGAGAGAAGCGTTCGAGGAAAGCATCAGTACCGAGGAAAGAAGCGAGCTAATCGGAATCGAAGTCTCGACTCGGTTCGGGAGGGCAAGTATTGGTGTCCGTATGCAGAGTGCAGCAGCGATGCGGTATTATCATACTACATATAGAACGCGCGCGTGCAGCAGGCAGAAAGCGAGAGACGGGAGCGCGGCGATGATGATGCGGCACTCGGCGGCGGATGCCTGGGTATCGTGTCGACGACGACGAACGAACGAGCGAACGAGCGAGTAGGCGACGACGGTGAAAATGAACGAGTCAGTGGCACGCGTGTAATTCGCAATGCTCCAACAGGGTGGGGACCTCTGGCGGCCTACTTTTCACCAACCACCGCCGTCGTCGTCGTCGCACTCTTGGGTCTCTCTCTCTCGTCTTTGGTTCTTCTTGTTGGCATATAATTCACACATACGTACACACATATGTGTATTATGTATATGGGATACGTGTGGTAGACACAACATACACACTCGAACGTATATTCCCGTGTACGGAAATCTGTCAGCCAGTCTTGTGTATGTGTGTATAACACTATTATATGGTATATACACACATATAAGCGCGTCGGTGCAACTGCCTGCCGCGAGAGACTCCGTGGTACAAAATCGATCGGTTGTATACCCTTCTCTCTCTCTCTCTCTCTCTTTCTCTCTATATCTCGCTTGGTCGACACATAGTGTCACGCACGGACAAGGTTTGTGTTCTGGCTTACACTCGTTTGTGTGTGTGTCTCTGCCTACGTATGTGTTTTACGCGTGCGGACTCTGGGCAAGGCTCTCTCTTCAGTAAGGTTACTCTCCTCGGCATTTTGTTCTCGAAAATTTCCTCCCGGTACGAGCGAATCCGACGACAATAGCCATTGCCGATTCAGTGGATTGCTCGGCAGCCCTCGCTCTCGTGTCTCTTTGCGGAAAATCGATTCGCGTTTTTCACGTTTGTGGAGAGCTCCCAGTGTAGCACATGAAAAAACATTCCATTAAAATATATTCATCGAAATAGAAGGTGTGGTCATTACGCGCGATCTTATTATTATTTGCTGTATAGTTGCGCGTTTACACGCGCGTAAGTATATAGACATCTTGACGAACAAATGATCGCATGCAACGTAATGCGATCGCTCATGGCTCCTCGATGTATAAACTCGCAACCATCTCGTACACACTGCGTACGATTCCCTTCCAGCTCTAACGTCGTTTGTCGCGTCACGAATATCGCGTATATATCAGCACAATAGCAGATCTCTGGATTTTTCTAAGCGTCTCGTATTCGTCACTCCGTAGGTATATGGCATCGCAATCGGAAAGACCGCAGCGTCCATACTTTTTTCTTGTTTTTTTTTCTGTTTACGCTCGTTCTTATTATACTACGCTAAGACGGCGTGGAAAAAAATTTGCCCCGCGATCTCTTTCTTGACTACGGAGCTACGAGCCGCGTAGTGCGACTTACGCGACACATCGGAGCTACGTTCAATATATGCTTCACCTAGACACACATGTAAACACACGAGTACAGTACGTAGGCCGGAGCGTCGAGTACACTTCGATATGGATGTTTCTTTTTGTCATATAGACGATATAGTACACGATGACGAATATGAAAATTTCAATGTGTTGCAGGCGCTGGGGTCAAAATGGAGCAGTTTCAGCCCACCCTCGACCCACGTAAGCAGGAATTACTCGAGGCACGTTTTTTAGGAGCAAGGGTGAGTAAAGAAAATCAAGGATAAAATCAATTCCTGGTCATAATACATATTACGAAGTTGAAAATGCGAAGAACAGCAAATGAAATTTAATATACACGCCGCGCGCACACTGAATAGTACAAATATATTATACATATAATACGGCGCAAGCTCTCCTCCCAATCGATCCAGCCCGAATTGGCCTTGTCATTATTATTTACGCTGAGGCGCAGACCGCGTACAGAGACCGTCGTATCGTTGTTGCATACATATGTAGAGCATCCATATACAGGCGACTCATCGTTGTGCAGCAAAGGCTACAAAAAAAAGCAGAGAGAGAACGCAGGAGATTTTGACGGGCGCGAGCGGGGGCGGGTTGGTATGCATGCGTCCTTGACGTTCCGTGTGCCTGTGCGTTGTGTGTCTCTGCATCATGTGCAGTAGCGAGGATCGCGATGCGCGGTGAGTCTCGCATCGCGTTATAATATCTCGACCGATGATAAAAGCAGGCAGCAGCGGTAGCAACACACATACGCAGCAGCGGGATCAAGCCGTTGCTGCTGCTGCTGCTGCTGCTGTGTAGATTGCTGCGCGAGGCGACGACTCGAAAGTGTTTATATAGTAGAGTAGAACTGTAGATATATCGAGCCACGCGCGGAATTACATTGTAAGTCTCCGAGAGAGTCGGAGCTTTCGAATTTTCGTGCATAGGTGTCGTTTTATGCATCGATCTCGTTCGCCGTCGTCGTCGTCGTCGTTGTCGTCCACCAGCGTTAGCAGAGACTTGCGGCGACGGCCGTGTCAGCTCTCTCTCTATCTCACTCGCTTGCTCGACATTTTCAATTTTTCCACTCTGCACACACAAGCAGCAGCAGCAGCAACAGCGGCACACAACGAGCGGTGCAGACTGGCAAACAGGCAGCCACGTACACTGTATACAGTGCGAATTTCGTATCTATGGCGCGCGACTCTCCGAGCTAGAGTAGCGAGTGAGCAAGCGCGCGCGCGCGTACGACCTGCTTTTCGAAAGGGATTTCCTACTTCCGCTTATTCGCTTCTGTAGCATTACGCGCGGGCACGATGCGTGTATAATATAATATATAAATGTCTATCGTCTCTCTCTCGTTCTCGCTGTTGCTGCTGTTGCTGCTGTTTCCATTCACTTTCTGCCATCTAGACGATGTAACGGGAAGCTGTCGCTGTCAGATATTGTAAACGTCACTGACTGACGTATTACACACCTACGAGCGCAAAATTCATTTGCTTATCTCCGCTGCGCGTATGTGCGTTTGCTGCATCGCGGAGCTTTGCTCTCTGATCTCGCAGGCGCGTCTCTTTTATAACGTATTATATCCGAGTGAGCTTTGGATGTATCCTTGGGGGCAAAAAAAAAAATTTCAATGATCTTTTCTCGTATCGCTCGATTGGATTATTCGTCGGTAATTTTAAGGAGGAAAATCCATCGGGGGACGTAAATACAATATTCTTCTTCCCGTTTAAGTACTGCAGCCGCAGCAGCTGGTAGCTGATGTATATATATAGCATAAGCAACGTCACCCCTTATCGAGTCTTTCACAACCTCCCTCGCAACTGGGCTATTAGTAATTTTCTCTCTTTCGTCGCTATCTTCGCGCCTATATATGTATACGGTAACGACAGCACACACCCCACATAGTAGCACATATACAGTGCCACGTCGAGAGTAGTTGCAAGCCAGAATCGATCGAGGAGAGAGAGACAGAGAGAGAGAGAGGTGGAAAGCCGCAGCCCGAAAATTCCAACTCTCGGCGTCTCCTCTGGAAAATATTTTCCAGCGTATCTATATATAGTGCGCGATGTCCTGTACCTGTATAATATCTGCTGCGTTTTTCGGGCTCTCTACTGCTCTATGTTGATCTGCAGTGCGTACGCCTGCTGGCATACGCTATACATACAAAAGGTCAACAAACCCGCTCCGTTCATAGGCATGTGCACTATTTTTTTGCCCAAAAATTGCTTGAAAATGTTATTTGTCTACGCGTAGCGACTGAAACTATTCGTGGTATGCACAAAGAGCGACATTACACGCGTCGTTTGTTCATTACATATAGATATAGGATATATAACCCCAAGGTCACTTTTCATCGCTTCGCGGCAATATCGTCGTGTATTATTAATTCTCACACAACGTGTCGATCTGTCTCTCTCGCTCTACATATATACCATCTATGTGTATGCGTGCGCGCGCAATATATAATGAACAAAAAAACCGAGTTTGTCATTAACTCATAAAGCGCTACGAGGAAGGTAAAAATTTGCGCCTCGATTTCTCGATTCTA